TATATATATATATATATATATATATATATATATATAAATTCACAGAAGAAATAAGATTTAATTATAAAAATATAATTTAAAGTATATTAAAATTGATAAAAACATATCAAATTGAAACATTGTTATTGTATTATAACATTGCTAAGGAATTTATGAAACAAATGAGAAAATAGATGTTTACATAAAGTTTAATTAAATTAATACCTATGGAAGAACAATGCTCGAGTCTTTGTTTATAAATTTATATGACAAAACAGTCATATTTGCAAACTAATGAAGATTATTGTACTATTTACAAGTTTGACCTAAAGGAACATTTTACTGTTCTTTATTTTAATTTTATTATTTCTGACGAATCATTTCAATACTAATACAGTATTTTCTGCTCTGTCTGTTTGCTTCTCCATTTCTTCATTCCCTTTCTCTATATATTTTTCATATTTCTATCACTATTGAATGTTAGAACACGAAATTTATCCTTTCATCTATAATGAACTTTTAATGGTATGATAATTTCAATTTTGTAATAAATTGAAATTATTATTCATTAACATTAGATTATTAATATTAAAAATAAATAATATTAATTATCATGAAATAGTTATACTAAGTTTTCTGAAAGTAAATTACTCAAAACGTGGAAGAAGAGAAAAAAGCAATTTTTTTCATGATCTCGATTGTCATTAACCCTGTATTAATGGGTATCTTTAATATAATATTATTCTTTAAGATTTTTCAGAATTATACGCTTTTTTCTTTTCACCCGAATGAGAAAATTCATTTCTAATTTCATTATTGTGTGAACAATATTGTCACTGATACGTTTTTTCTTTTTTATAAAAAATGTAAGAATGTCAAATTAATTGGAACGAACGATGAATGATCAATCGTACGTTTTAGCGTAAAAAGTAAAAGCTGATAGTTGCAATAATAATTTATAATTATGTTTGTGCATATGCTGATGGTGTATTTAAATATGTAAGTTTGAGCAGGTGTTATTTTTATCGAATTTTGTTCACAGGCACACACGCAGCACGCAGACACGCAGAAAAATGCGCAGAAAAGTTATATAATCTAAATAATTTCAGATTCCTGAAGGACATCCGAGTGTGATTGTACAATTTTTGGAATTTTACCATCCATTAGTTTTGGGATAGTCGCATGTATGTCCAGTCTCTTATTTTTTGGTATATGTATAATATTGTACGTTATACCTAGACGTATCGTGCGTATACACGCTAATTATGAATAACATATATATTTATGCCTTTAATTGACATGATACATAGCTTTACAATGCGTGTCTTTTTTGCAGACACACATTTCAGAATTAAATTATTTTTGAAATAAATTTTTCAGCTTTATGCCTTTTTACTTTTTTATTTAATTTATTCATCGACTTCGTTTCTTCATAATCCTTAATGTTATATCTTATAGTCGATGCGCGAAAAACAGATTTATCAAGCATTAAGCATTAAATGCTAAATTCTAAAAGTAACGTACATTGTACGTTCTAACAAGAGAGTTACGAAGATTTAACTCGTATTGTATTTATGTACTAATGTTTGTATTATTTTTAATATGAAAATCTAATATACATGTTTATACTTTTGTATGTGTATATATATATATATATATATTAACTCGCAATCATTTTCTAACAATAGGCACTATAGGTCGACGAGAGATCGTGACGTATTAATGATAACATTTATCCGTGAAAAGGAAAATTGAAAACATCAATGTGAAAATCTATTATTTGAATTAATAAATTCTGTATTTTTTTATTTCAGGGATTGAAATATTAAATAAATAAAAGTGAACCTGCTACTAAAAAATTCTCTATTTATCGATTTTAATGACTTTGAGATATGTATAAGACAATTTATTATTTTAAATAACTATACGTTCTCACAAATGCATATATATAAGCATAATAGTACTAAAAGTATTTTATTAATTCTAAAATTCCAATCATCGGTTTAATTATGTGTAAAATTGATATGCGACTAGTATTTATTAATATTATTTATGTATATAAGAATAAATCGGTAAGAAATACTTATAATAAATATCATTAAAGAAATATATAAACAAATATCATTATACTTATTATTATAATAAATATTATTATAATATATACATATCTATAATGATTTTGAATATTTTACGAATTCAAAAGAAATAAATATAAAAATAAAATATAAAAATTTAAAAATAATATAGCTATATAAGCTATAATATAATGATATCAATTTCACATAAGTCAGCTATAAGAAAAAGAAAATTTTAAAAAGTTTATTCATAAATCTATAAAGAAATAGTTTTTCGATAAATTTATCCGTTATATTATATATTCTCATATATTTATATATATGTATAAATATAGTAATTGCATATATTTTTATGGACACATTTATGTATAGGCAGAATTTAATAAAATTCTATTCTTTGCAAATAACTCTAATACATAAAGATAAAAGTTGTTTAAATTGTATAAATTTATAACATGTTAAATTTTATAACATATCTCAAACTTATTATGATCGATAAAGAAGGTATTATAATTGATTGATTGCAGATTGATCTAACAATTAAAAATGATTGGTAATAAGATTATAGCAAAAATTTAACTTAATTACTACAAAATTCGTTGTTCCTTTCTCTATTTAAATCTTTTTTTCTGTCTTTTCTCTTTCTCTCTTTCTATCTCTTTCACTTTTTTCTACCTCTCTCCCTTTCTGTTATTAAATATCTTTTAATTCTTTCATAATTAGTTTCATGTTATATAAATGTTTGATGATACATAGCTTCTTTATGTTTTTACATATAAATTTTGTATAAATATAACAGAAAAAAACAAAATGGAAAATAGTCACATTAATTTTATATGTGCATTATATGTAAATATATACTGTTAATATATTCATGGAATATTTTTAATAGATTGATACGAAAGATCAAAACAAATACAAATATCTTTAATAGATTGATTCGAAAAATCAAAACAAATACAAAAATTAGTATACAAAAATATCAATTGAAGCTTATTTATTAAGCAATTGAAATTTACGACATTTTTATATAACAATTATTATTTATTTTGATCTTCAGAATTTCTTCTAGATTTTCTAAAAATTTTCCATGAATATATTAGAATGACATATATGTATTTATAATACTTATCACCGAAGATATTTTTTTTAATAAAAAAATAAATGAAAAATTGTTTTGATATAATATAATTATAAATATACTGTAATCGTCAATAATTGCAAAATCAACAATTAAATAACAATTTAAATAATTTTTTGAAAATATGATTTTCGTATATTTGTTATCATTTATTTTTTAATTTTATATATTAGAAAGAAAATGGTTTGTACCTTATTAATGAATTTTATAATAGAGTCCAATAAAATTATGAAAACAATTTACATTATTGTTTTAAATATATAAAAATTTTTTTTGTTTTCATTTATATTATTAATTTGTTAACTATTGAATTTAAGATTTTTCTTCGAAGATAAGTATAAAATTATTTGAAATGTACAAACTTCTTTCATATTATATATATATTTATGATGAATCGAATGAAATGAAAAATAAATGAACAAAGAAATCTATAACATTGTTTTTTTTTTATATTCGATATATATATTGGTTAACTTCATTTGATTCATCTTTCTATTATATTAGGTACAATATGGATAGAAATGTAATTATACCAATTTAAAAATTAATACTAATTTTAAAATGGAAATTCGTTTTTTCTTTTTTTAACATTAATTAATACGCAATTATAATGCAATAAATTAATTGCGTTCTAAAATGTGTATTATTATAAAGAATAAAAATCTTTTCTGGACATTGTTCATTTTATACTAATACAAATTTTTGATAAATTTTATTATTTTGTTAATTATTGATCAATGATTTTATATTCCGGACATTGATATATTATAAACTATATCATAAAATTGTATTGAGATTATGATTAATTAAAATATTTTGTTTGTACTTAATTTGTACTTTGATTATAATATAAAAAGAAAAAAATATATTTTTATTATAATTAAAGAGTTTAAAGTATTGATCATAGTCAAAGTTAATTAATATAATTACAAATTATATTAATATAATTAATATAAAACAAATACAATTAATGTATATAAATAATACATATACATATATATAAACAAAATATAAATATATAAATATACAATATAAATATACATATAACAAAATATACCAACTAATCATGATCTATTAGCATAATCAATGTATAATTCATTATTTCGATATTGAATTATGCCCAGAAAAGAAAGCATTTTCTTCTAATAAATGCAGGATGAATTTCATTTATCGTACAAATAGCAAATAGATAAATATGTATTCTTATTACTTATTAGAAATGTTGTAATTTTAATAATTTTGAATGAGACAAACATCATATACGTTTACGTTCTATAAATGCTATTGTTTATGATATCTGATATTATATAAAATTAGTAGCGGTACTAGCAATCTACGTTCCTTTAAAAATATAAAGAAAAACAACTACCTGATTACTATACAATCTCTTTAAAAAATGTACATATTCCTCTTTCCATCTTCTCTTTCCCTCTCTTTTTGTCCTTTTTGTTTCTTTCTTTAAAATAATTATAAATTAAAAATCTATGCTATTTAAGGCAGTATTATTTGTTTTTTCATGTAATTATTATTCATTTCTTTTTATAACGAGTAGATTGTATTAATGATTTAATTTGAATAAGGGATCGGAATTTAAATATATTTCACTAAATTGGTCCAATTACCCTTAATCATGGTAGAAGAATGCGAGTTTAGAGTAATATTAAGTCAATTAAACTATCTGAACTATATTATATTATTCATCTATGGATTTTTATTGCAGAAAAAAAAAATTTAAGCTCGCAAATTTAAGCTTGCAATAAATTGATTAGATACTATATATAAGTAGGCTATTGTTATTTATTATAGAATGAAAAGTATCGTAAAAAAATTTCCTTATAAAAGAAAAAGAGATTCTTTATAAAAGAAAAGAAATATATTGTAAAATCTAAATATAAGAATAAATAGTTTAGTTTCAAATAATTGATAAATAATTTAATTGAAATATATTAATAATGAAATAATAAAAAGATTATAAATGATAGTAATGATGATAAGGCAACAGCGTCAAAGAAAGGGGGAGAGGAGAGGGAATTGATTAGATTCGAATCTCGAAGTGATAGTAACGCGATAACAAGCAAATTAGCCTTTCATTAAACTGTTTCAGGAAGGATGCCGAGCATAATGATCTAAGATCAACTGGCATTATCGGGTTGTACATCTCGATATTCTTCACTCTCCCTGTGTACGAGGACATGAACGACCGTGGCGGCGGATTGTTGTCTAAGTAATGCCGGTCTTGAAGGCGGTGCTGAATTCTCTGGACTGGGTTCCGTAACAAGTATGCTTACATCGGTAGATTCGATTGGCAGCGGAGCTGGTTCAGGAGCTGGTTGATGTTTCTTTCGAAGGCTACCGCAACGTCTGCTAAATGCTTCTTTGATATCACGATGTAAGGTGTTCAGAGAGAGTGTTGTAGCGCTTGGCGGAAGTGATTTGCGCTTCGTAGGAAGACTGGGAACTTCCTCGTCGGGATAACTTTCAACGGCATTTTGTCGGCCGAGAGTTGGACCCCCGATTGATCTATCGTAAATTATTATCGTATTATAATTTCATTTTTTAAAGTTTATCTAATATTAGAGAAGAAAAGTATATTGGATAATATTGGAGTTCAGTGATTTTTTCTCAATTTTAATTATTTTTAACTATGGTTTTTCATTTGAATTTCATTTATCTTAAAAAAGAAGAAGTCATCAGAAACATTTAAAAAAAATAATAAATACATTATATTAAATATAAATGTAATATATTGATTAAAAGAACTATTTTTTTATAGATTTGAATAGAATTTTTTTTTAATTATTTTGTTGTATTATAAATAAACAATAGGAAAAATTTGCAATTGGATTTAATCTTAAAAACAAAATTTAAGAGAAGTAAAAATTTTAAGTTAAAAGTTCTTTTTATTAAGTAGTGAAAAAAGCGATAAAGAATTATCATTTAACCCAACTTAAATCAAGACTTATGAAATAATTGATTACTAATTATTATAAGTACAAACTAATTTTATATTTTTTAAGATTATTAAGATCCGATTATCGCTTAAAATTTTTTTACATTACAACAAAATAGTTAAAAAAGTTTCATTAAAATCTATAAAAAAATAACATAATAGATTATATGTTCATAAATTTTTTTATTCAAAATTAAAGAGTAATCTTATCGATATCATTTTATTTATGCAAGATGATAGTAACGAAATATTTTTATTCGATATGAAAAGAGTAATGACATATGTATATATTTTTATGTAGAAACTTCAAATTCAAGTTAAATTAGATTAGATTAAGTAATGAATGGAAGGGATTTCAAAGATTAAAGAGATTAGATTCAAATTATGTTCACTTAACTATTAATAATAACAATAATTTTATTAATTTTAAAACTGATGCAAATAGTTTAGATAATTAAGGCTTGTTGGAAAAATGATAAACAGAAATTGAATGCAAACATCTATAAAAACATCTTAGTGATTGAAAAAAAAAAAAGTATCAATGGATGCATTCGCACGAAATATAAACTATTAATAATACAGACTTTAAATAAAATACAATAAAAAAAATTTGTTTTTTATTTTTTTACATTTTTTTTTTTTTTGCTGTTTCTTTTTGCGCATAAAATCATTAGCATCTTTATACTATTGACGCTCTATGAGAATGATACTTTGTTCATAGAGATCGCTCATCTTGTATATAACGAAATGTTTTATCTTTAAGATTTCGAAATATTATTAAAAAAAATCGATAAAATGAAGTTTTAGTCAATCAAATAATCAAAATTGAGAAAAATAATTAAACTGTAAAATTATCACACATTATTAAACGTGTATTGAAAACGAGTAAGAAAAGGAAACGCAAACCTAGTGTGTAGATCAGAGGAAGTAGCAGAAGCAACAGAGGAACCGGTAAACATTTGTTGTTCTGTAGTCGGCGAGGGACGGGATACGGTCAGAGCGGGAGGAGGCAGGTCCTCGTGAGTACCGGTGGCGCCGGAGAGCAACAGCAGAGGTAAATTTGGAAAAAGCCATGCCGAAGCTGTACCGAGCTCGCTGAAATCGCTGGCGTCGCTGGCCCTCGAGGACTTGCGACTACTGGCTCGACTACCTCTATGCACATGTAGAAAAGCCGATACTTTGCCACTCCATCCACCCCCGCCCCTACCCTCGTTCCCACCACCAGGACTTGACGTCTGAGTCTGAGAATCCACTTCTTGAGCCATCCTTTCACGTTCCTTTTTCGCTCTGAATAATACAACGTAAACTCTTATTGTAGAATCATATTTGAAGAACGAAATGGAAACGTTAATTAACATTACTCACGTTATATATTCCCTGATGGTACGTTGAATCAACCTAGCTGCTTTGTCTTGACGTTTCCACATTCTCGTTGAAGAAACAATTTCTAATTCTTTACGAGTGGGAAATTGTTTCTTAAATTTAATATCCATTTGTTCCTGCAGCTTTCGAAAATCTTCAGACTCTTCTACGTGTCCAAGGACGTGCTTGACAAGTGCGTGCAGAATATCCAGACAATGAATCTTATTACCCTTTGCGATAGGTAGATTAAAACTAACTAGTGCAACCATATTGGGCTTCGAAATCCCTAATGGTGGATCCAGACTTGCTATGAAATCGCTTAATTGCGAAAAATTTATGAACTGTGTCGCGTGCGGATCGTATCTACGAATTAATTATGATTACACGTGTTAATGTTGATTTTGCGATAGAAAGCATAACGAAAAAGAAAAATAAAAAGTAAAAAGATACAAAAGTAAGTACACTTACTTGGACCATCGAATGTAAAACATTTCTAGATCGTCTTCGACAATACCGATTTCTTCTTCTTGATGGGCCTGATTAAAATTTTCGAGAATAATAGCAATGTACATATTGATAACGATCATATAGCTGATTATGATGAAAGAAGTAAAATAGGTTATTGCCAATAGAGGATATCCGCAATTTCCATTCAATTGCCGATTAGTTGGAGTCGGATCGCAATTCGGTGGTTGTACCATCAATGATTCTAACACGTCGTTCCAACCAGCTGAGGTCATTAATCGAAACAGTAATTGCATGCTTCTACCAAAAGTTTCAAAATTTACCTACAGGGAATGAAAACGAGAAAATAAGAGAAAACAAAGAGAGAGGAAAAGATAACGCGTAATGAGAAAAATAGGGATATAGAAAAAAATAAATTGGAAAAAATTTAAATGACATTACTCACCATATCGTCAAGCGCACCTTGTTTCTTAACGTGACCAAACACTGACATGCCGATAATGGCATAAATAAAAGTAATTAGAGCTAACAGGGCACCGATGTTGAATAGCGCTGGAAGACTAACCACCAGAGCGAAGAGCAGTTTGCGAATACCTTTTGCTGCTTTTATGAGCCTTAAGATTCTACCAATTCTGAACACTCTCACGACTCGCAGGAGCGTCGGGGACACCGGAAAGTCTACCATAATATCCTCCATTAATATTCCTAATATTGAAGCCAGCACAAGGAGGAAATCGAACAAGTTCCATGGCACCGTGAAATAATGATATCGAAGTCCTATTATTTTCACGATTGCTTCTAAGCCAAAAACAGTTGTGAAAAATGCATTCGACACTTCAAGGACGAAGAAAATTGGATGAGGTTGATCGTAATGCTCGATTCCCATTGTCAGCATGTTGAGAAATATCAAAATGAAAATTGCTATTTCAAATCTGGAAACATTTAGTAGTTGTTGTTTATATAGTGAAATCGATAAAAAAAACTGTGTTTTAAATTTCTCGAAAAGAAATAAAAGAAAAGAGAAAAATTCAATGGTGAATAAAAACAAAAAAGAAAGTAAAGAAGCAAATAGAACTTAGATTCATTTACCTGCGTGAATTCGATAGATCATAAAACATTGCGAGGATTTGATTCATCGGACGCTTTATCACTTTTTGCGGCTTTTTACGGCCAAGTTTTTTCATGGCAGTGTAGTAGTGTTTTTGACTTTCGGTCAAAAACATTTCTAGCACTCCACCTTCGTACTGAAAATAGGGATGAAAGGGAATGAAAATGGGGAAGAAAGTTTCAGCGTTCGACGAAATATGTAAAAAATTATTTTTCAAGAATCTCTTTTCGATTGATTTTATGTTTCTTACCTTCTTCTTTAACATGTTAAAGTTGTCTATAATTACTCCGATAAAGAGATTTAGTGTAAAAAAAGAGCCGCAAACGATAAATATCACAAAGTAGAAATATGCATAGATGTTTGCTTCTCTTTGAGGTTGAAGATCTACACCTCTTGCGTCTACCGCATCCTGCATCACCTCCATCCACCCTTCGAAAGTGGCTACTTGGAACAAAGCTAGATATGCTATTCCCACGTGATCAAACGTGATTTTACTATTTTCCCAAGAGTAATTTTTCCTCAAACAATCGTCTTTCGTGTTTACAATCTATAGAAGTAATGTTCATCAAATTTTCTTCCTTTCATTTCTCTCGAATTTTTTGATAATTTAGCTTTTTTTCTTTGCGGATTAAAACGGAAAAAAACAACAGAAAAAGATTTTACTTACCGATATATCTAATAATTCGCCGTACTCGTCAACGCATTTGAAAAATTTGCCGCCAAAAAATTGTACACCCATTATAGAAAATATCAGCCAGAACACGAGACAGACGAGGAGCACGTTGAATATACTAGGTATCGCATACATCAACGCGTTCACTACGATCTAGCAAAGACAAGAAGAAGAAAATACGGAATACTTCTAACTTCCAAGCTTTAGGAATATATTAGCCATCTAATCTATATCATTGGCATTGATCTACTCAATCCCTTACCCTCATGCCTTGCCATCTCGATATTGCTCTTAAAGGTCTTAGTGCTCTCAAAGTTCTTAGAGATCTTAGCACTTTCAAATTTTCATTTTCTTCTATTAACAGACTAAATGTTGATACCTGTTCAAGAAAAATTAAATTACGATTTTTGAAGATACTCGTTTATTTTCTTTTTTCTTTCATCATTCAAAGAATATATAACATGCTATTTGTATATTATAACGAATGATTAATCGTGAATTTTTTCTAAAAATTTTCTATTTTAAAAATGTTCTAATTAAAACGAAAACAATAAAGATTGAAAATAAATAATTTCCTATTCATATATAAATAATACATAGATAAATATTCAAAAAAATTTTTCATAGTTTATATACGATTTCATTTATCGAAATGAGAAAGAGGAAAAGACAAAATAGAAATAATCGGATAGTTATTTTATTTAAATATCTAGGGAATAACAGTAATAGCGATACATAAAATGCCATGCAAAGCAATATACACATTTGAGATTTTTTTTTAAAGCATTTTATAAAGCTGAAGCTATAATTGTGTACGTATCAATAATAAATAATCTTCTTAATTATAAGATAAGTATATTATAAAAAAAACAAAAATCACATTATTCTTGAAATTATTTTTGATTGAACTTTTTTCTTTAACTATTTTACTTGGAAATTATTGCATACATGTATTATATATTCAAGATATTTAATAACAAATATCCAAGTATTTAAAGAATAATTTATTATGTCAAAATAAAATTAAAAATAAAAGAATTTAAAATATTATAGAATATTATCGGTTTTGTTATTTATTTAGCGACTGAAAACGAAGCTTTAAATGCAATTTTTTCATTTTTAATTTTTATATTTTGATTTGATCATCTAAATTTTTGAATTTTTAAATGTAAAAAAAATGATTTAATTTTGCTTAAATCCAAATATTTGTAATCTATGAAAAAAAATAAATTTGCCGATTAGCTCCTTTCTTATTGATTTTAAAAAAATATCATTTTGAGCAACTTTTTTCATTCTATATAAAACTTAAGTTTCGAATTATTTAGAATTATTTAGTTAGCAAAAAACTATTATTACATTGAATTCCGCCTATACTATGTATGCATTCGCAGGAGCACGTACGACAGTACGCGACCGCCACTTTTCAACTGTTTGCATAAACACGGTATAACAGGTGAACAAATATCACTTACTTAGTATCCGTAGCAAGTACGGGCTCTTTTCAGATTTCCGGAATGTGAAAATAAAGTATAAAACAATCCTTGAACGACCGAAATTACAATGATCGAAGTTAGTTTTCTCGTTTTATATACAGATTGATCCATAATTCATAGTACAAATGAGATCAAGGCTCAAAATAAAACGAAAATACAGAATGAATTTTTCTCATATGAATCTTTGATTTCGAATAAATCAAATTTGAAATTTTTCAAATATAAATGAAATTCTTGATTGAATACAAATGAATTAGATATCAATAGATAATTATTCTGTATATGAAAATAAGTAAAAAATGTAAAATAAAAGTTTATTATTTAAGTCCTTGTTTTTAAAATATCAAGAAGTCTTATAATATATATAATATATATATATATATATATATATATATATACATATATTGTATATCGATGAATTTTCAAATTCTTAATAATTAATTTTTAAATGGAAAAGATATATTTTATACTTATTTTCGTGTTTATAATAATCTTTTATAGTTTATTCATATATAAGAAGCTATAAAAAATTAACTAATTTCACTTATATTTGAAAAATTTTCAAATTTGTTTTAAGAAAAATAGATATTCGTGTAATTTAGTTATTCTTAATTTTCGTATTATTTCGAATCATAGAATCTTTTTGATCTCATTTATACTATGAATTACGAATAATTCTATATATAAAAAGAATGTAAAGAAAAATCTTAAAAAAAGATCACGTTCAATTTCATAAAAAAGTAGATTTTCGAGCTTATTTATTATATATGATTATCAGAACTTTAAGTAACGATGGTATATATTGAACGTATATTATTATAAGCACACACATAGACACATATAGACAATGATTTAGTATTAAATTTTTTTGCAAATAATTCGAAAATTAAAATTGACCATCATTTATGCATAAAAAAGAAAGTTCAAAATGAAGCTTTTTATAACATATTTCAGGCTCATTAAGATCAATGAGGAGGAAGCTAATCGGTAGATTGAACATGAAAAAAAGTTTCAAACTTAAATAATAATGTTTAAAAATTATATTAAAAAAATCAAAATGTGAAATCATTTGCACTTTGTAATATTTTACAATGCAATATGCAATATTTTATATTGGGATTCGAAAGAATAAATATTAAATAATTGGTAAGAAATTATGGAAGCATAGATAAAAGAAAACTAATAGAAAATTATTAAAATATTTCATTAATTAAAGTTTGAAATATTTACAAACATTATTATTAATGTTGACGATATAAAAATAAATGTTTCAAAAGAATGTATTTTTAAGAGAGTATTTTAAAGAATGTATTATTAATTAAACTAGATAGAATATCATAAACAAATAAATCTTGAATACATTTTTTATTCATAATTTTTCAACACATATGAATTTTTCATTCAAAATATCTTGATAATTAGAATTTTTATAGAATTTTAATATATATTTAGCACATTTCAAATTTTAATAAATTTTAATTTTTAATAAAATAATACATAACTTCTTAATTGAAAATCTTAATTGAATACTTAATTGAAAAGTTTCATTGATTGATACTAAGAGAATAGAAAAAAATCTATTAAAAAAATAAAATAATAGAATAGAGAAAATAATAGAATAATAGAAATTTTGTGCCACTATGTATATAAGATTACTAAGAAAATATATAAAATTAATTTCAGAACATGCTTTTTATATCTATTATTTTATTTTATTAATTATATTTTTTTTATAATTATATAATCATTTTAAAAATATTACAATTGACATATAATATATATATTAATCTTTATTTATCAATTCTTATTTTAACTTAATAAGTAAATAAATAATTAATAAATAAAAATAAATTAAAATATAATATGAATATAAGAATATAAAAATAAACACAAGATATTATTTCAATAACTCTGTTACAAAGTGATGTCTCTTAGCGAATATCAAGAGAATAAATTATTCGATTTAAATAAACGTGACAACATTTTCTTTCTTAAAGTCATATTTTCTAACAATTATATTTTTATCATCATAATATAATTAATAACTAAAGTTAAGATTCAATAATCTAAATATTATAATTTTTAAATCAAAATTAATTCTTTTTGAATAAAAAAGAAAATTGATTTCTTGTAGTCTAATTTTTTTTGTATTCAAGGTCGCTTGAAAGTCATAGTATCATGGTATTTAGGTCATTTGATCGATCTTGACCTCAGTTATTACGTTATAATGATAAAAATATGTAGTTCGGTTTAAAAAATATTAATAACCTTGAAACCACTAAAAATACAATCTTGACAAAAAATGCTATGTCTTTGTCTATTTTTAACCAAATAATTCATTCTTTTGATATTTGATATTTATATGTATTATTAAAAATAAAAAATATATCATTTTGTAACATAGTTATTATGTGTAATATACATACGTAGAAAATTTCTAGATTGCAATTTTGTTTTGTTAAATGCAACTTTGAAAAATATATACATCTCTTTTTGCTTAAATGAATAAAAGATTTTTAATTTTTCGAAATCATACTATTGATTATAAGAATAACTTATACACCAAAATTATTAAAATCATAAAACTAAGAAGAAAAATATGCATATTTTTCTCTAAAAATTCTAATGGATCGTTTTTTTTAATTTCACATTAATGTTTTAAGAATCAGTTTACATATTGCAAAAATATTAATATCTAAAATCGTTAAAAAAAAATATCGCGTATAAAAATTTGAAGATTTTATAAACAGACTTCTTTATTTTATATTATAAAAAAATTATCGAATTCATTCTATTTTATCCTTATTCATTCTTCATGAAGTTACAGGAATATATATATTCGTGTAACGAATATATAAAAAAAATATGTAACGATAAGAAATAGTGCAATCGGTCTACTAATATCTCAAGATTCGAAAATTTACACGAGTGCATAATATGAGAGAAACTAATATTAAGGTGGAATAAAAAAAATTGGACAAATTAGTTGAAATTCTGGTAGATCGAATTAAGATATAAAGCGTTGCAAGGATATTTCAGGCATAATCAAATTGAGTAGAAGCGACATATTAATATTGCACGTACCTGAGTCCGCAAGGCGACATATATAAAAAATGTAAGAAATAAATGCATAAAAATGAGAAAGACAAAGTGAGACAAAGAGCGAGATCGTAACACGATAGTTACAATCGACGATAAACAAAAATCCATGCAGCAAAGATGGACGTAAAATTTACACCACATGCGCTCGCGCACACGTATGTGCTTTTGCTTGCACATACACGAAACACATATAATATATATATATGTGTGTGTGTATGTGTGCGTGTGTATACGATTGAAATCGATGCTGCTGTTGAATTTATAACTCTACTTACAAAGACAATTATAAAATCCAAGATTGTCCAAAAACTGGTGAAATATTTGCAGAAACCCAGAGCTAACCACTTGAGTAACATCTCAATACTGAAAAGCGCACAGAAGCCAAGATTGGTCCAATAGAGGATTTTCTTCAAAAAAGGATTATCATCTAGGTAAATATCTTCAAAACAAAGCGTTATGGAAGATGCAAAAATTAAAACTAGGATCATCCATTCGAAGCCAGGCGTGTCAACGACCGATAGAATCATTGTTCGTAGTTTGATCCATTTTTTGCCAATAGCTGTTGCAATACACCGATCGATGCAGGTACACCTGCACATACAATATCGCTATCAAACGTCATTCACATGAGCAGAAGAAGAGAAAGTTCGAAGTGCGGTTAGATTGGTTCTTACTTCTGGTAACACTGTCGTGGAAAGCAATCTTGCGGTTCTTTACGCCGATTACTCCTTCCAAATCCGGGGAAAGAACCTATCCCATCGATATATTTCCCCTTGCTATCTCTTCTACCACCAACGGTCAGTTCATCGACATAACTGACGAGCGCGTGCCAAGGTCGCTTAGGTATTCGATCCTCGTGTCTAGGAAATGGATCTTTTTGAGGTAGCATCGCGATTCTTTCCTCCGCGGGTGCTTTGTTCGAACACGAGGAATCTCTCACGATTTCCAAATCTGGACATTCCTCTTCCTTGTTTTCGTTCATTTCCATCTCTTTTTCTTTATTCGAGTAATTCTTTTCGTCATACGTTGTTTCGTCCTTTTCTTCATCGTCCTTTTCCCACTGTTCGTATCTTTGCCCTTCCATCTGAGACTGAGAGTAAACCGGATCGTAAGTAAAAACTGGCTGATTCAAACTTTCTTGATAAGATCTATTGTAAACGTTATCCTTTGGAAGGTTGAGCACAGTCTCTTGAATGGCGTATTTAGTCTCGTTGTCGGATCGATCCATAACTCTTCGCACGATCTTTTCGAAACGAGGATCTTTCCCTCTCCCTTTTGCGACAATTTGCCCCATCCGGGAACATTTATTTTTCCTTATAATCGAACGAATACGATCGAACGACCTTGCGAGTTTCGAATCCTCGCCGACCTCTTCCTTTTTCTGCTTCAACTCTTCCGAATTGAAGCTGTTGAGCAGTAAAGCAAGGAAGAGATTCAACACCATAAAATTACCCATGACGAGAGCCGGTAAAAATATAGCGAAGCATGCCTCGGGTCCGTCTTCTTGTTCCGCTCTCATGCAATCCCATAACGGCTCGATCCACTCTCCGCAAAGTATACGAAATATCATCATAAACGAGTGAAAGAAATCGTTAAAGTTCCAACGTGGTACAGGATCCGGATAGAATTTGTCCAATGTGTAATCTTTACTGAACAATTGCATGCCGATCACGGCGAATATATAAATCACGATCACCAGAACTAAGGTGAGATTTCCAAGAGCGCCGATCGTCGAGATAATAATGCTGAGGAGAACCTTCATCGTTGTCCAGGATTGTGCCAATTTTAACACACGCAGAAGCCTCAGTCCGCGTATCACGGAGAGACCGTCTACCAGCTCGAAGGTAAGATCTATCAGAGACGCTGACACTATTATCAAATCGAAATTGTTCCATCCGTTGGCGAAGAAATCTTTACTCAGCGCCAACAGCTTCAGCAAACATTCGAAGGTGAAGATACTGGTAAACACTTTATTACCGATGTTGAGCGCCTGTCGTATCGATTCGCTCATTCCGTGATGTTCCATTGCCAAAAAGCCGGTATTGAGGACGATGCACAGTGTGATCGTCAACTCGAATAGTGGATCTCTCACTACCTAGATACGAGCCACTGATCAATCGAGAGTCGAGCGTTTTCTTTCTTTCTTTTTTTTTTTTTATTCGCTATAGCTTTTATTCATTTGATTTTAACAACAATTCGTTCATTTGTCAATATTTTAATAAAATAATATGTAAAAAATATCGAATTATATTATGTTATAAGAATACTTGCGTTCTCATCTCCGAAGACGCTCCCCTCTCGACGCTATCTTTACCTTTTTAGCATACCTACCTTGTACAAACAATTCTGAAATCGTAGCCAACCCTCGTAATCTACGCAGCATTGGATGCATTTTTCACAATTTCTATCCGGTAGATCATCTAGAACACGAGACGAATAGATCGTTAATAATTCTCATTTTGAATCTATACGATGGAATGTTTCCGAAATCGTAATCATCATTAAAAGAGGATAGATGATTTCTAACTTAAAAAAAATATAGAATAAAATTTTTTATGTAAAAAATTTTTTTCTGCAAATATTTAGAAAATTTGTTATTTATATACGTATTTAAAGACAATCTGCTTCAATTATTCATGTTTATGAATAACATTTGACGTGAATAAATATTTGGTATAATTTAAATCGTAAGATTGATAATAAATGAACCAAGCAGATTGAGTTTAAATACATATTATATATAATTATATAATTTGACAAATTCTCAAACTTAATCTTTTCGAAAAAATTTTATTCCATATTTTCGATTCATTCTTTATTTTTTTTCCACGATTTCAGGAACTCTCTGCACGTATAAATGATCCTACCTAAAATAACAATGTGCGATAAATACTCTGGCGGCAAAGTGTACATTTGTTTCTTTGTTTTCACACCATTGCACTTAAACACTCGAAATTCTCGAGTGGGTCCGCCAGCAAGAGAGACTGGAATATTTGCAGACGTTCGAAGATAACCACCGGAATGGATTGCCTCCGATTCTTCTCGTTCATTGTCGTTTACTTCCGTCTCATTGTTCATTCCATTTCTCGTTTGATCCGGATTCGTTTCGCCATTGGTGTCCCCATTCTTATTATTGGTGGGCGTCTTCTCTTGCCAATTGCCCCTACATTCTTTGTTATCGCGTCTATCGTGCTCTTCCACGGATGTCACGTCATCGGCATCATGATCGTCGACAACCCCGGAATCATCTAACGACGATTGTTGATTACTGTTGTTACTTGCTTGTCGAGAATGAAGCATACCACGATTTGGCGCCAATCTATGAACTCCATTATTTTCAGCTGTTCGCGGACTGACATTTTGTAGAAGTAAATGAGACGGTCGAACGTTTGAGTGTCTTGGACTTGGATTCGGGCTCGGTGTCACCGACCTAATCGGTGAGAAAATTATAATAAAAAATCATCTAGCTTTTTTTTTTTTTTTCTAAAAAAAATCTTTTGACAATTTTTCCATTTTCCGCGCTCAATTCAATTCTACTGATAAAAGTGTATACCTGCTTGGCACAGAGCCACCTTTATCTTGACCAGATGAAGTGGAACCGGCAGTGCTTCTCCCACGTCTTCTTCTTCGCGTCTTCTTACGCGTGTAACTACTTAAGAGAACCCCTTTTCTTGCATCCAATTTTTTTTGCTTTTCTTTGGCAAGCGTCTTCACATTGATTTTTGTCGGGTCGAAACTAAACGTCGAGTCCTCGCGATGGTCGGTTAAATCCTTCCTTCGTTCCTGTTATATCAATCGTAAGGATGAGAGAAATCGAAAGCGTGCAGTTGAAACGATTACACACCTCGTTTGTAATTTCTGCTTCTTCCTCGTAACTCAATGCAACGACAGCGAGCATCAGGTTGATCAAATAAAATGATCCAAAAAACACGACCACCGTGAAGAACGAGACGCTGATAGGTCCGCACGCCGACAATACCTAATGGACTCAATATTATCATTCCTTGTATGAATACAAATATTGATTATTAAAATAGTAATGATTGTATTGCAAAATAAAATAATTAGGAATAGAATACTTGAAGTGTTAAAACACATCGAAACTATTTTTGTAAAAATCAAGGAAAACAGTAATTTATAAAAATATTATAAAAAACTTAATAAAGAATATTGTTATGATAATATAAATTTTTATTTATTAATAATTAATAATTATTTTTTCGAAGTTTAGATTCAATTTTAAATGATTAGAATTTCTCAAATATATTTCAATGTTTTATTAAGAAAAAATGAAATATAAAAATTTAATTTTTCATAAATTGAAAAAATAAATATTATTTATCATTTATTTTCGCTTTCATTTTTTAAGAAAAAACATTTGAATTTAAAAATTCTAACAAATTAAAAATTGTTTAGTTTTTAGTTTTTAACAAAATAATACTTCTTTTAGGAAGTAGTTTCTTTTAGGAAAAAGAAAAAGAAAAGAGTATTCAAGAGTTTGAAAATTTCAAATTTTTAAAATTTTAAAAATTTAATAAAAATGTCTAAAAATAATAAAATAATAATTCGTACAGAAAATTGACTAACTACCTTATTGTAGACGTCTTCCCAATAATCCAAAGTAATCAACTGAAACGTGGTGAGCATTGACCAGAGAAAATTGTCAAAATTTGTATAACCATGATTTGGATTTGGGCCAACGCAAAGGCAAATGTAACTTTCGTTGCAATGTCTAGAAGGTAGATTTTTCGCGTTAAAACGAGATGTTATTCAGAATACTCGCGCCTAGTAATGAACCAAGTTTGACTAACCTGGCGCCAGTCGCGTTACCGCAAATTATTGGTTCTTCATCTTCGTCGAATGCCCAGTTGGATGAGTTCCAAGTCCACCTGTGGACGGTATAAGGTATCGGTTAATGCCTCTTGAGAGTCAACGAGCTATTGTCTCTCAAGTAGATACATATGTATATGCATACATACATATAAATACTATGGAAGCAACACGTATATCTACATGTAACAAGTATATTTACATGTATATGATAAACAATACGTACTCTTTCCAATCGATTTGTGTATCATTGAATTCCAAAATTTTAACACATTTATTTCGAAGTTCACCCATATAAACTTGTAGAGCAAAAAGTGCAAAAACCATCAGACAAAAGATCGTGAGCGTCATTACTTCGGCAAGTTGCTTAAAACTATGTAACAATGCATTTATGATGGTTTTTAAGCCTGTAAGAATATTAGGTAAACGATTATTTTTCTATTTTTTATTTCCTTATTTTCCTATAGTAAATAAATTTTTTTGTAAATTTTCTAATACACGACGATTAATTTATATATGTATAAAAATATAAATTTCTATCTATTGTTAATAAACGAATTTATTAATATATTAAAAATTAATTTTTTCTTTTATATTTAATATGATAATATATTATTGCACCGTTAATTAAGATAATATAAAATATAATTATAATGGGCTTTTAAATAGATCTACATGCTTTAAATATCCTTTGCACTGGTCTTTAATCAATTTTTTTTCATTCATAAAAAACCTATATAATAGAATATTTCAAATATAGAATATTATATTTAAATAAATAAGTGATAAAACTTTTCATAATAAAATTTTCTATAAAAATAGTTCCAACTAAAAATAACCACAAGAATCTTTCACAATATACTACAACACTCTCTGTGAGTCGTGATTCATTAATTAGAAAATCGGGTTTGTACGATATTTTATATTATAATTACGAGAAAAAAAGAGGGAAAAAATTTCCGATTATTAATAGTCGCTTTTCTTAGATTCTTACCAGGCATAATTGAAACGGTTTTAAGAGCTCTCAATACTCGAAATGTTCTCAACCCAGCTAAATTTCCTACTTCCATCCCTATAGTCGCATAGCCACTAGTGATAACTACGAAATCCAACCAGTTCCACGGATTTCGCAGATAAGTATACTTATTGAGCACAAATCCCTTAGCTATCGACTTGATCACCATTTCAGCCGTGTATATAGCTAAGAATATATATCTGAAAAAAATAAAAGGAGGCGAAGGCACGTATTACATTACCCTACCCTAAATGTCTGATTAATTCGAATGGTTGAATGGTTTGTGAAAATGCTTACTCGGCTTCCTCGATAGTTTCTGTCATGGCGAGGAAGGCACAATTTAATATTATCGTAGCCATGACTACATAATCGAAGTACTGATTCGTGCTTAAGTAAATACAATATCGTCTTATAGGATTCCATGGAGAAAATATGAACCAACTGTTCGTCGCCGTAAATCTGTGGATGTAATTTTTACGAAATCTCTTCGATACTACGCAAAATGTCTGAAACACATGATACATGAATCAAATCATCGAATTTCACGAGAATCCGAGAGAAGAGATATAAAAAAATATTGATGATTTATTTCCAATAAATATCAATATTTAACTCTTATTATCCGATGATTGGATCATTTTTGATCCAACTGATAATAACGATAGGTAGTAACAAAAATTAGATAAATTTGTATATATTATTGGCCACCGTATTTCTTGATCTGTACTTTGAGAATTAAACGTTTTTATATTATAACAATCACGATTTGAAAAAATATTTATTTAAAAAAAAGAGAGATGTTTGCTTTAATTTTTATCATTTTTATGAAATAAGATTTTTATTTTTCGAAATTCATAAATTTTGCTTATCAATTTGACGATTTTAATTTTTTCTTTTGATAACATTATAAATTCTATTTGAAACTTTTAATATCTTTTCACGTGTTTCATTAAAATTGAACTTTTATTATAAAATAACAAGAAAAAAATACGTATGTTTAAAGACATACCTCGTCGTAAATAAAATTGTCGATTTCTTCGAGAGGCCTGCCGTAAAGATCGGTTGGGAAAGGTTCATATTTATTTGGAAGCACCGCACCATCTTCGACCGACATTCGTTTCTTCGGTTGAAATCCATAATCCCTGACAAGTTGCACAGTTCTATTCTCCAACCTGTCGAGGCTTTCTTTCGTGAACAATTTAACCGTTTGTTTATTGTTCGTGGGAGTTTTAATCGTCGATTTATTGGCAGCTTGACCGTTTTCAATCCCGTTCCCTCCGTCCAAAATCTCGCCGGCGGTCGTTGTCCTAGGCGTACCAAGAGGATCCACCTGGATCTCCGCACTTCCGGAATCACCGGTCCCAGAATCGGCCGAAGCGCCCGCCACTGCTGTTAAAGGAGGTCGTAACCTTGCCACATCCCTCGATCTCGACGCATCCTCATCCGTGGATTTAATCGTTTTAGAAAAATCTTGATGCTCGGATTCGATTTGCCTCGAATCTTTCTCCAAGTGTTCCGACTCAAACCGATCCTCGCTTCTTAAACGTTCCTTGCGTACTATAAATTCAAGTTCGGCGTCCGAAACAGAGGATCTCGAACGCCTGTGACGCGTCTCCTCCGCGTACGATGTCAACGGATAATTTGGAAATATCGGCGAAGGTGTTTCACTAGTTTCGTACACGTGCTCGGTGTATTCAGGCGGGCTAAGGCCTGTGTACGGTGGCGGTGATGGCTTCTCCACTTCCGGGGGCGAGATCGCATCGCATTCGCTTGTTTCGCTAGCGGGTGAAATGAGTATCGAGGCGGATGTTGATGCGAAAGTGGAACTATCATCTTGCCCCCTTCTCCCAGCAAAATCGCCAGTTGAAATAGGTATTTTAGAATTATCGATACCCGACTCCATCCATAACATTTGCTCGGAAAATTCAGCGTGGGATCTTCGAATTGTATCGGGTACAACGCATCCTTCCTGTTGCTCGTGTTCCCTCCCACGGATCCTCTCGACAGACGGCGATCCATAATGATCCCCTCGCCTGACCGACTCGTCGAATCTAGATCTCGGCTCGAAATGAGCAACGGCCACCTCTGCCCTTCTCAATGGTTGAGGCGTCCTCGAAATCCCGATTCTCGACCGATCCAATAGTTCAAATTCCTCGGCAATACCCGTAGGAAGATTTAAACTTCTTTGGCTTCCAATCTCTCGTGGCGATCTTTCAAGAATATCTCGCGCGGGACCATGAGATCGAGCACCAGTCTCTTCTGACGATCGAACGAGCTCTTGTCTGAAGAGATTCGTCGTGTAAAGGCCCGCCACTCGAGGTCGATTAGCGAAGCCATTGTCCTCAGAGCCGTTGCTCGGAGGGTTGGGAGAACCTTTATATCCCTCACGGCCACCTTGCGAAGGTATCATTGGAATCTTTGGTTCCTCGGTTCATCGAAATTTGTACCTTTCATCGTTGCGGTTCCTACACAGAACTTATCTCGTTCTCTTTCCTCTTTTTTTCCTTCTTTTATCTACGAGATTTGCAAACTCATATTGACTCTTTTGTAAATATCTCTTTTCTTAAATAGTAAACAAAAGTGTAGACGCATAATACTGTTTACTCCTCGCGACTTGTTGGCTCGTTTCTCTTCGAAATCGTGGTGATATAACCCGTATTAAGGTGGAAGGCAGTTTTTTTTCCCGGTAATTTGATCGCCGGTCGTTTGATATTCGATCACAATGCGTTCCACGCTTGTGGATACTCTTGTATTTGTGGTTGGTTCTTTTGAAATTTCAAAGGATGCAGCTGCTATTGACTGAGCGCGAACTCGAATGTATGTCGCGGTACAGTATATAGATTCTTCTTTTTTCGTCGATGACGATCGTGCCGCTGCGACGCGTTTCACCACCAAGCGGTAAAAAAGTTGAGAAGGAAATCGAAAATGAGAGAAAATGAAAGAGAAAATGGAGATGATTAAAAAGAAAGAGAAGGGAAATGTCAAATGAGTAAGAAAGAGGGAAGATATGGAAGAAAAAAAAAAGAAAGGGTAGAGAGTATACTCGAAAGAGACGTTGCGTGATTTCTTTCTTTGATCTCTTGATGATCGATGTATCCCTAATCCGGTCTGCTCTGCGACGTTGTCTCCTGGATATCGTTCACACACGATTCCGTGGCTGATCTCATCGCGATAGAAAACAATGTCAAACAACAAGAAGGAATAACAATAGGAAATGACGCAAAATCAGTCTGTTGTTTACTGGTCACTCCAGTAATATACAATAACACTCGCGAATCATATTTACCATCTGCTTTATCCAAGGAGATTCGAAGATCAAGTTCTGAACAGTGTCCCGAATAAGATTTGAATGAGATGATAACGACGTGACGACAAACAGGGTAAGGAGGAAAAAAGAATTAGACGAGAAAAACAACGTATAAAGTGTGGGGACAGTTAAAATGGCACATATTAAAATGGAAATGAGAAATAGAATCGGAATAAAAACTGATACGTATTTAAATATAACAAGTGAAAATAACGTAAAGAGAAACGAGGTAGCAAAGAAAACGAGAGATTTAATAAAAGAAAGAATGTTAAAAAAAGAGAAAGGCGAAGATAGAAATAGAGATGAAGGAAAATAAGAAAGGAAACAGTGGTGTACCCTCGTCATATAGTTCGGTAAATTGTGACTTGAACAAGGGTGCAAAATCACGAACGTCTCCGACGAGAACTGTGACGATACTATGGACGAAGTCGATTCGTTTCGCGCGCGCGCGTATTGAACGACCGAGGAAAACGGCTTTGAGGTCTCTCTTTCCTTGTATAAGCGAATCTATCTAAACCTAACACATTGAAATACATAGGTGCACACGCGCATCGGGGGTTATCGCTACCACGAAACTAGCGAACCAACAGCCTGCACGAATACTCTTTACCACCCTCTACGCTATTCCCCACTCTAGCTACAACTGACCCCTGCAGGTGATATTGTGGTCAGCAAACATTATGATTCCTTCGTCTTTTTTTCTTGATTAATCGTATTTTTTCTTTTCTTCTTTTTTTAAAACGAAACAAACTATTTTGGCGATGAAAGATCATAATGATTCTATGATTTAGAGAAAGTTTAATTGTTACATAAGTATCGAATTTTCTACAAAATTATGGAATTATTTTGATGTGTCAACAGTTGTTCGTTTTTTTTCATTTTTATTTATTTATTTTTCTTTCTTTTCAATTGTCATAATTTTTTCAATTTAAGATATCTTTGCTAGTTTGAAAATTATTTTGACGAATCTTTCATTTCCACATGACACATGTGATATTCATCTGCAATTTTCTCTTTGATCGACTTTAAATTTCGAATAAAACGTCCTAGTTCCTCAGGCTATATAGCTATAACTACAAACTGTCTTTCAAATACTTATTGATTTGTCCTCTAGCATTGCTTTTACCAGATGAAATATTTAATTGATATCAATTTTATTTAAATGTAACATATTTAAAAAATAATTATATTTTTAAAAATAAATACATGATTCTTCGGAAAATATATTGTGAAAATATTAAATTGATATTTTATATTTATGAATTCATATTTAATTTACTAACTAGTATTATACTTACTTATACTTTTATATTTTTTTCATAAAATATCAATTATTTAAAAAAGAATAGGAAATTAATTTAAATAAATTAATAATTTATTACTAATAACTCCTTATAAGATTTTACTATAAATATTATTTAAATAATATTTATTACATTTATATTTTAACATTCATACATATTAAGATACATTTATGTAATCTCAATATTCATATTCATATTCATAGATTCATTTTTATATATATACAAATACATTTTATATACATATATATATAGATGACTCTCGTATAATGTAGGATTTAGATTTCTGATTGTGCGAGATTTCGATTACATATAAAAAGTGAATTCAAAAACATTATATCGAAACTGCATTGTAAAAATACTGTATTATGCAAGAGTTACCTGTATATATAATGTGTACATATTGTACTATATTTGCATATATACATATGTATATTGAGAATCGACAGAAGATCAGAAGAATGATCACAAAAATAAACTTGTGATGTATAAGAAAAGATTTCATAATTCGCTCATTGTATTAGCAAAAATATATTTTTAACATAAATAAAAAATATTGAATAAAATAACTTTTTTCTTTTAATTATCTTTCATATAAATTCTTGCTACTTTCTAATCCAAAATATACAAAACAAAATCAAAACTAATCATATTAATCATAATATATGTACATACGTATGCATAGCAAATATTCCAAAAAATGTAATAGGTTTAAAACATTAAAGTTACGAGAAAAATAAAATTGATATTATTTTTAATAGATTTAAATATAGATTATTTTTAAATTGCTAGCAATAAAATTTGTTACGCCATTCTACCATGACATTCTATGTAACATATTTATTTCTAAATATATTAGAATTTGGTTTCATTATCGATTTAACTATAAAAATTCATTTCATTTATGATATAACGTTTTTAAATATAATATACATAACATATTACATAGCACAATAATCAAATAACATATAAAGGTTTATAAACATAATGAATTAAAATGAAAATTTAAGAAATTATAAAAAATATTGAGCACTATTCCGTGTTTTAATTGTAAAAGAAAATTTTTTTAACATTGTGAATAGAAGTTGAATTGAAAAATGCCGTAATAAAACATAAAAACTCGCGAAGTGCAGTGAGTTAAAATTGTTTTACCTATTTATTTCTTCATTTTTAATTACTAATAATTAAAACAAATATTAACAATTATATGAAAATATCAAAACCATACTATTGGCATAGTGTATCCAATTTTTTTGGTTAATACCATGCATTATAAAACAATGTATCTGTCATATATATATTTTTTATATAAATTTTAATTAAACAATACAGAATTAGGATCTTCGTTGTCAAGTTGTTTCACATGTCTCAATACATCCTTCTTTGTAATAACTCCAAGTAATCGACTATAAAAATAAATAAGTGAAAAATAAATATAATTTTGTATTACGCATATAACAAATAATATGCACAACAATAAAAATTAATTACCCATTATGTGTAACAAGTGTTTGTCTTAATCCCAATTTTCTGAACATATCAACAACAGTTTCCATAGGTGTTTGGTCAGTAATTGTTATTGGAGCCATATCAAGAATTTTTTTTAATTTAAGTGGTGGAGGAGAATGATTTTGGATATTGTTTCCATTCGTAAATAAAACCAGTGATTGTCCAGTAATTTCCTCTATCATACGTTTAGCATTTGCTATTGCAAGATTCAAATCTCTTCGTAATACAAAACCAACAAGATATTGCGATTCCTTTGAAACTATCACGGGGAAACCATTATGTTCCGTTTCTTTTAATAAATTTTCAACATCTTCAACTGTCATTGAATCTTGAGTAAGCACATGCAGAGCTTCATTACGTCTAAAAAAAATTAAACTTAATGACTATGAAGAAAAACTATAAAGTATGTTAAATTAAAAATATTTTACAAAAATATATTTTAATAATAACAATTACTTTGGTTGCATGACATCAGCCGCTAAAGTAGTATGTTGAAATTCGTCTTTACTATCAAGAAATGGATATCCATTCAAACCAATATGAGCATCATAAATTCCTTGTTTTCCAAGAGCATCACCAACCCATTTACTTGCCATAGCAGCTGCCATTAATGGTACAATATATCGTACGCCTCCAGTTAATTCAAACATTATTACAACAAGAGAAACAGTCATTCTAGTAACACCACCAAGAACCGCTGCGGCACCAACCATTGCATATAATCCAGGTGTTATACAATCAACACCAGTTGAACATGCTTCACTAAATATCCAAATATGTGGATAATTGTATGCAAGTTGTTCCATTCCAATCCCAACAATACGTCCCATTATTGCTCCCAAACAAAGTGATGGAATAAATAATCCACAAGGTACTTTCATGCCGAACGTAAATATTGTCATAACAAGTTTTAAAATTAATGCTAAAACTAGAAGCCATATAGCTTTATAAACTCCAGGACCAGCTGCTGCAACTTCAATTGCTGATTTTACAGCAGTAAAATTTCTATTATAATCACTATATGAACAAAAAAAAAAAGAAAAGAAATTTATATAAATAAGAAAAAAGAAAAGTATTATATTTTAAAATTAATTTTAAAAATTAACATAAGAAAACAAATTTTTTTACAAACCACAAAATATCTGCATTTGATACTCCACATTGTCTAAATAATAAATAAATGAGTTGACTTGTACTCATTCGAGTATATGGATTTGGATATCCAATAACTGCAGTTGCAACTGTCACTATCAAAACTTCAGTAACTGGATATTGACCCAATTTTGAAGTTTTACGATATCGACACCAAAATAAATTTGCTTTAATAAATAAAGTAGCAATTACGCCCTATAAAAAATAGAAAAAAAAAAAGAAAAAATTATAATTTAACAATATTTTAATTATAAGAAAAGATTTACAGAAAGATAAACTTACACCAATTATTCCGAGCATGACAAAAGGTATTAATTCAAAAAATATCCATGGTTTATTATATTCAACATAAAAGAGTACTGAATGCTCATTACCAAATGGATTTATAGATCGTAAAATAAAAGCGGCTATCAAGGCACAAAAAAATGATCTCCATAAAGTTTTTAAGGGAAAATAATAGCTCACCTAAAAATATTAGAAATATAATTCCATTCAATTATATATTAAATTTTTTTTGTTACATACCTCTTCAAGACTAAAAAGAACACCTCCAATTGGAGCACCAAAAGCAACTGAAACTCCTGCAGCAGCTGCTGCTGATAAAATTTCTCTTTTCTTTGCTTCATTTCTACCATATTTAGGAAAAAGATAAGAAAATATGTTTCCTATGCAACAAGCTATATGAACCATTGGTCCTTCTTTGCCTAAATTTAAACCTGCTGAGACCGATAGAATCAAACCTACTGATTTAATTATTAATGTCCATTTCCCTAAATATCCACGAATAATAAATCCACTTAGAATGGTTTTTATCTAAAAATTTTTAAATATAATTTAAAAGTCATTATATATTTTATTTTTTTTTATTTCCATATATACCTCAGGTATTCCTGAACCACAAGCATATGGTGCAAACATTCTTACTAATGAGGCAGAAAGTGAAGCAAACAAGAGAGCCCAAGCAATGTAGAACATATACGAGATCATGTAAGGTCCTGCACCATCTTTTGATTGACTAAATACTTCTGGCCATGTCCACCACTATAAAAAATTATAAAATAAAGAATTTAAGCATTATAAAATAAAAAAAAAATAATAATAAATCATGTACCTGAGAACAGTTACCACCATCAAAAGTTGTTTCATTATAACTCCAACAACATTGTTCTTTGTTTAACCAAAATGCTTGTGGACATATGCCAAATTTTAAATCAGTCATCCAGGAAGCCCCTATATCTATGATACCTGCTGCAACTCCTGTAAAGAGACCAACTAATAAAACACAAAGCCATCCAGACCAAGCATCATGGGCTCCTTTAATTAAACCCCAAATGGAATCATGTTTTTTCTTCACAATATATCGATGACGCATTCTATCTCGAGCGATATCTCGCTGCCAATCAATTGTATGGAAGTCATCATATTGTCCAATACCAGGAATGTCATCGGAATCAACTGAAACTAAAATAATAAAATAATAAAATGCAACAAAGAATAAAATTACGTTTTTTGTATACATTAATTATACATTAAGAAGCTAACATTATAATTACATTACTCACTGTGAGAGGAAGCATCATCTATACGAATATGTTCTGAAAGAACAGTGTTCTGCCCATGATGAGAATTTACATTATTAACTTCCAGCATGTCGTCGTCACTACTTAGATTAGTATCACCTGTAGTAATTCGATTTCGAGATCGTGCATCCTCTACAAAGTATACATCATCTGAATTTTCAATCTATAATTAATCAAATTTTTATTATTATTATTTATATTTTTTTATTATTTTTTTTCTTAATTTTTTTTTCATAGTTTACCTTAGTATCAACTGATTGGTATGTAGTTAATGTATGTTGATGATTTTGTGGAATTGTATTGTTCGACAAAGTTGTACCTTTCAATGGAAATTTCTCCATGGCATTGCAACCTGTAAAAAAAAATTAAATATATCCATGTTTAATATATATTTATACATATATACATATATATACATATATATACATATATATATATAATACATAATATATTTTATAGATGATTTAAAAATATGAAATATTTGTTTAATTTTTGCATCAAATAAAAATTAATTTCATCATAATAAAAAATAAATATAAATACAACTTGTTCACTTTTATTACCAAACATCCCATAAGATTGGAATAATAATAAAAATGCGATAATTTAAAGAAATTATTTATTTTGTAATATAATTGAAATTTCACACAGTATTGATTGTAATTATATGCACTGTAATAATACAATGCATTAACAACAATACAATGTATTAATAGCATAATATGTGGTTCTGACTGTAATACTGTTAAGAATATTAGAAATATTATCCTCTAAGAGATTATTTTATATTCAAATTGTATATTTTATTGGATGATATTATAATATTAATGAATAATTCATAAAGTCTATCTTAAAACTTAAAGTATAATTTTTGAAATATATTATATTTTGCTTTATCAATTTATAATAATTATTTAAAATAAAAATGAAATTGTTTAAAGAAAAAATGATAATAATATATCAAATATTTAATAATATTTTAGATTTTATAAAATATATAATTTTTATAAAAATTGATTTTATGCATTTTAAATTGAATTTTTAATAATTTTTTTAATTTTTTAATATAAATAATATTATAAATATTATAATACATTTTTAATCATAAAATCAAAGATAATATATAGATTATAAATAAAATAATAAATAATAAGATAAATAATAAGATAATAATATAATAAATAAATATTATAAATAAAAAGAATCTTTTAAGATTAAAAAATACATAGAAAAAAAATATTTAAAAATATAAGTATTTAAGAAAATTGAAAAAAAAATTAAAAATAATATATGATACAAATATGAAATAATTAATTTCTATATATATATATNATATATTTCTATATATATATTTCTATATTTGATATATTTGATAATTTATAATTTATAATAATTATATAAATTATAATATAAATTATAATTTATAATTCCTAATAATAAATTGTCAAAAAGAAGATAAATAAGAAAAAGTTTATATAAACTTTTTTCTTAATTTTATATATTATTTTATATACTACTTAAATATTTCTTTCATTTATAATATAGATATGCTTAAAAACATTCATATGCTTATTTTATTATTTATATACATATATCTAAAATAATTTGTTTGATATTAATTAAAATATTTATTTGATTAATATGCAAAATAAATACAAATAAAAAATATAATGTATTAATTATTGAAATGAAAAAACAAATACTTTGAAATTATTTTAAATATTTTAAATATGATTTGAACTGATTGATTACAGCATTAAAAGATAACAAAAGATGTTGAAGTGATTAACATACATCAAAAAAGTAATAAATTTTCAATGAAAATCAAATACCAGCACATTATTTTAATATTTTTATAATTAAATTTGTAAATTTATCTTTAATTTTCAAATATATAATTTAAAAAAGAAAAGAAAAAAAACAATAAAAACAGAAATAGAAATATAAATGAGAAAATTTGATTACTTCAAACAAGTTGAAGATGAGGTTATCGACATCCATGTAATGTGCAGGAAAAAGTTCTGAAAAAAAGGTTGAAACGAATAGATCTTTAAATATGTCATTATAGATATTTAAATTCTGCTTGAAGAGTTTACTATAATACAATTTGTATTTAATTCAATCTTTGCTAGGTTAAAATTAACACCGTACTTTCGATAAATTAAATTGTTGAGTTGCTCAATCGTACTTACCATTTTTTCGGATAGAACGCTTCTCAGTTTTCTGTACATGAATTCCTTTTCTCGTTTTTATTGTTTTAAATTGAATTATATCATTTATTTCCTTTAAAATAAAATTTATTTTGAAAATACAAATATCGTTTTAATCGGAGAAAAACTACGAGGATCGAACTAAGAAAAGACTTGTCAAAGCATTTTCTTACTCTCTTACTCACATATATATGCATACTTAGTCTCCATTCTTACTCTTTATTTAATTAAATATGTCATTATGCGCCACCTTACTGAATTACATTGAACAAATAATTTATAAATTCGAAAAATAAAAATTATAAAAAAATATTTCATAATAAGTTTATGAAATTAAACTTATAGCAAAAAAATTATTTCAATAATTGAAAAATTATAAAAATTTTAATAATTTAAAAACTTTCTAAAGATTTTATATTTATTAAAATATTAATGAAACAATTTAAAACATTTATTTACAATCTTTAGATTTTTAAAATTTATTGACAACTTGAAAAAAAATAATTAAAAAATTTAATATAATAATTTATCATACAATAATTTAATACAATTATGATTTTTATATTTTTTATAATCTTTTAAAATGGAAAAAAAAAATTAAAAAAAGGATTTCAAGCACAATACTGAATGAAAGAAAAATTGCATTTTTATTGTCTCTTTTATATTAGTACATTAATAAAAAATTAAAGGACAAAACATACATTTCATTATTTTTCAATGTCATTTTAATACTAATTTTAAATTCCAATTTCTGTACCCCTCATATCTTCTTTTATTGTAGCATTTGTGAAACCCTGATATTTTATAGGATAGGCTAATTGATTTCCTTTATTCCAAGTATAAAGTTCCTAAAAATAAATAAAAAATTGTAAATTCTAAAATTCATATGTAATTTATTTCATTTCTTAAATTTTAAAATATTTACTTTTGTCTTATGGTTATAACTGACTGCTGTAGTTTTATGATAAGGATTTGTGAATGATAAATGAACGGGTATTGTAATATTTTTATATAGATCAAAAGCCAACCTATAAATATATATCATTATATAATTATATAAAATACATTACAAAATATATATTTTTTTCATTTTTAAAATTTTAATATTTTTAATTATTTCTTTTTTTTTTGAAGTTTTACCTTATTTTCATTGTTTCTTCTGTAACACTATGGACAGCATAAAGCACTCCTCCAGCAATAAACATTTCTCCAAATTTATGATTGTCTATACTAATATTCCATGCATGTTGAATATTCATGTTAATTGCATCCATTTTTATGACTACTGTATTATTTGATGGTAATCCATATATTACCCATAATCCTATTAAAATTAATATAAATTATTATATAATATTTAAATATAAATTAAAAAATTATTAAACAAATATATAAATATTATAAATAAATAATTTTTATAAAAAATTTTATAAATAATATAAAAATAATTTTATTAATGATATATATATTATTTATATTGAAAGAAATATCTCTTTAAATAAATTGTAATTACCATTTTCATCTACATTGAAATCAACATAATTAAAATTATGATTCGGTGTATATAAATAATTTTTTGTATTTACTAATAATCCTGGAAGATGTAATTCACATCGTGAAAATTCTTTATCACATACTTGATCAGAAATAGAATGGAGATTAAAACGAAAAATTGAAGATCGATTTATAGGATTATAAAAAAAAGATCTATTATATACTACATGTCCATTTCCCTGAAATTAAATTTAATATAAAAAATTATAATACATTATGATAAAAATATTATTTATTATAAAAATATTACTTGAAATGGATATGGTAATGCAATAGAATATGAACTGGCATTTTTAAAATGATCTTTTGATTTATATTCAAAAATAAAAGAAGTTTCATTTTTTCGAGTAACCCAAAGTTTTTCCGGATAAATATCAGATTTAGATGTGTCATGCATCCAACTTCCATAATGATCATCCATAGTACCTTTTAAAACTGGTTTTCCTACTGCTTCTATTATACCATCTACGTAAAATTAAATAATAAAAAATGAATTTTATAGTTATCATAATATATATACATTTTATAGTTATATATTTATTGAAATTATATTTTTAATGAAAATAAAAAATAAATCTATTACCTGCTAATCTTGGTGGAAGTCCACTAAAAGTAACATTTTTCAGTGGTTGAATATTTAAATATTCAGCGATATCTGTAAAAGTACATCTTAAAACAGGACAAGCAGCACAAGTTTCATGTGGTGCACAAAGTTCTTCTAAATCAACATGTTGTGGTGCTGGCTTTCCATATGTAATATATTGCTGTTTTCCTATTTTTGATTTTTCCATATTTTTTATATCATCTAAAATATCTTAATATTATTCATTTATCATTATTATTATATTATTCATTTATTTGAATTTAAAGAAATAAATAAAAGTTTATTATAAATATACTACCATTAACTATAAAAGAACCTTTAGTAGTATCAACATCATTTTTAACAACACAATAATAGGTACCATGATCAGCTGATGTTATCTTTGTAATCTTCAAACGCATTTTAAGCTAAAAAAATTATTAAAAATAAAAATAAATATAAATATTATTAAAATGTTATTATTATATATATTTTATATTTATTTACTTACTTTATACATGTCTTTTCTATCATGAATTTCAAATCTGTATTTGTCGGACATTTTAAGACGACGACCATCTTCACGTTCCCAATAAGTAATTGGTTCTGGAAATGCCTCAACTTCGCATTCTAAAACTGCAATGTTTTGACTACGTACATGAATCATTTGATTACGTATTCGAATAAAAGGAGAAACTGAAAAATAATTTTTCTTTATTTCTTATTACAATAAATAAATAAATAAAATATACAAATACGTATATAAAAAATTTATATATTTAAATATTTACATTTAACTTGAAGTTTAAATTTTTTAAATGCTCTAGGTGGAACTCCATTATCAGCGACACAAGTATACTCTCCCATATGTTCTCGATTAACTACGCTGATATTAAATATATGTCCAATTATAGAAGTCACTATTTAATAAATTATATATTTATTATATAAAACAACATTTATAATAATTTAATTATTATTATAATAGATAAATAAATAGATATTAGTAAAATTCATAATTATATTAATATTATTAATTATTAATGTAATTAGAATTTTACATTACCATGCCAAGATCCTATAGGAATGACAATACCATCACTTCTAAACCATTGAACAATAGGTTCAGGTTTACCACTTGCTGCACATTTTAATCGCAAATTTGTCCCTTCATAAACAGAAATTATTCCAGTAGAATTTAATGTTACAGGTAACATTCGATCATCTAAAAAATTTTATAAAATATAAATTTTACAAAAATGTAAAAAGCAAATTTTGAAAATATAATTATTGAAAGATAAAAAAAATATTTACCCAATATAGAAGGAGGAATTAATAAATCATCTGTATTATAATTATTCATGTTCACCTTCCAGGCTGTTATCCCTGGTTTGCCATCTTGTCCTGGTAAGCCTGGTCTACCAGGAGGACCCATTTCTCCTAAAGTTGTTCACATCATCAACGTATCTTTTTTCATCCATCCGTGCAATTAGAGCGAATTTAAAATAAGATAAAGTTACCACGCGGTCCAGGTGGTCCTTGTGGTCCCATTTGACCTGGCCTTCCTAAGAAGAAAATATATTATAAAATATATTATGATATATATGAAATATCTTTAGAACATATAAATATATAATAGCTAATATATAAAAGATCTTAGATAAAAAATGCATACCATCTGTACCATTACGTCCAGGCCGACCAGGAGATCCATTTAATCCTGGTTTACCATTTATTCCAGGTAATCCATCTAAACCACTACGTCCAGGAATTCCATCAAGACCAGGTTCTCCCGGGATTCCATCTCTTCCATCAAAGCCAGAAGGTCCTATATCACCTTTTGGTCCACGAGGACCAGAAGGACCAGTCAAACCAGGTGATCCTTTTGGACCTTGTAATCCAGAAATACCTGGTTCTCCAGGAGCACCTGGACTTCCTGGTGCTCCTGGTAATCCTGGTGGACAGTATTTCATTGATGATCGACAAAAATTTTCAATTGCATCAAGCTAAAAAACAATATTTATAATTAAAATTTTTATATTATCAATTTTTTAATTATTAAGAAAAAATAAATATTTAACCTGTACACGAGTATCTGCATTTAACCATACCCAATCATGTCCGATAGGAGTAATTGGAGAAGATGCTGACTTTGCTATGGGGGATGAAGTTACTTTTTTAGATTCTTTTAATGTATCTTTTTCTTGCCAAATCTAAAATATAAAAAAAAAATATAAATATAAAGTATAATTTTTAATATGATATATATACTCATATATACTCTGGATGTATCTGAAACTTTATTATCTTCTGTCACAGGTAATGCACTACTTCGTTTTCTTCGTATCAATTTTTCACTTTCTAAAAAGTCTTGTTTTTGCATAATAAGAATATTTGTTTCCACATGAGCCACATAAGTATAAAGATAGGTAGATGTTAAAAATTGTACTAAAAATTGAATTAAAATAAGAAACAGAAGACTCCATGGTTGCAATATCCAATGAGTAGATTTCATAGAAGTTTTCTTTTCCATAATTATATGTTATATTGTTAGAAACCTTTAAAAATTATTTATTTATCACTTTTAATAATAAAAGATATTATATTTAACTTATCAAAACTACGGACTTCTGAAGAGACTTATATCCGTATATCAAATTAGAAAGAAGGGGAGAGCAAACAGATTCAAATTGTCTGATTGGTTACTATTAAGTAATTTAATAGAGCATTAAATTTCTCTTAGATACAACTTTCGTTCATTTGAGAGTTTTAAACTAGCAAAATAATATTTAAAAGAAACCAATTGATTTATTTATAAATAAATAATATTTTGTCAAATATTAAATACAAATATAATATTTTTAAATACTTTATAAGTATGTAATGATAAATATATCGTTTATTTATATAATAAACATAATAACAAATTAAATACATATAAAAAAAATACTCATCTTGCAATCACTTCAGTTTAAACCTAGACTTTTTATTAATGATCAGTGATCAGTCATCATTCATCATTCACTATCACAGCCGATAAGCAATGATATTTTGATAATTACGCATGCGCGATTACATATGTATACTTACATATGTAAGTAAGAATTCTTTTTATTAAAAGAAATAAATATATAACCAAATAATTTTTACTTTTATATTACATAGCGAAAAATTTAAAACAATTAAATTCTGAATATATATATTAATGCTTTAATTTTATTAAAAATTTAATACATTTTTAAGAAGTTATGATAATAATATTTATATGAAATAAATAATTACTTTTATTTTAAATACAAAATAAAGTCAATATTTCAGATTTATATACAGTAACTCTCAAAAATATTCGGACACTAATGTGGAATGCTTAATTTTAACGATCTATATCTTTGTTAATTATAAAAGAAACGAATTCAAATTTGTTTTTGATAGAATATTTATTATATTTTACAAATATATGAATATAAAAAAAATCAAATTTTTTATTTTTGTTATTTATATATTATATAAATAACAATTATAAAATTATTATAAAATTGTATGTTATATACTTTTAAAATATTTTATGTAGATACTGAAAAATGAAAATCTGTTAATTTATTATCTGAGCATTATAAACAAAAAAAAAACATTTTTAAAATGAGATTGTAAATTTATCAAATTATTAAAATAATGAATTCTACAGTTGTATAAATATTCTTAAAGTTTCATTCTCCAAAAATTGAATTATTGAATAGATAAACAATATACATTAAAAAAAAATAGATATGTTTAAAATAGAAATAAAATATATAATACATTGTAATAAAAAATAATTATATATATAATATCTTAGATTGCTTAATGTATTATAGAATCAAGAAGATATCAAAATCAATATTTAATTTTTTAAAAAAATTAATCAAAAATTTTTTTATGTCTAAATATTTTTGTGATATGAAAAACAATTATGATTTCATTTAATTTTTAATATTTTATTATATTTAGTTAAATAAATTACATATATTTGTAAAATATAATAAAAATACTCTATTGAAAAAAATAATTTTGAATTCGTTTTTTCTATATTTAACAAAAATATAAATCATTAAAATGAAATATTCCATGTTAGTATTAAAATATTTTTAAGAATCACTACAAATACAAATATAATAATATTAAAATTATTCTTTTAATTTTCCTCACAACTTTTTTCATTTAGTAACATTATTTCTATATTATTATCACTGTTTTTTGTTTTTATTTCCACATTGTAAGTATTTGCCTACAAAATATATAAGAATTATTAGAATAAATTAAATTCTAGAATATAAATAGATTATAATGAAAATAAAAATACCAATTGTAATGAAGCTAAGAAATATCTAGCTACTTCATAAGCAGGTTTGTCTTGAACAATAGTATCAAAATTAATTGTTTTTTGTTCTAATGTTTGTAATTCTTCTATTATACGTGATGAATAATCATGAATTCGAAATGTAGGTCTTGTTTCAACTTCTGATAATTTTGGTTGTAAAGAGGCATGCCATTTTGCTACAGTTTGATCTAATTCTGTTGTAACATTAGATTCTTCAAAAATTTCTTTCATTTTATGCTCAATTAATGTTTGATAATCTGGTAAAGAATAGGACAAATTAATGTCCGATATTGAAGTTTCACACCAATTATTACTTGAATCAGGAGATTTTATAGAAGTATCAAGTGAATTTTGATAAATTATTGAATGTAATACATTATCTGTAGGTGTAGAACTTCTACTTGTCATATTTTCTGTATTATTTTCAATTGAATTATTTTGATTTTGGGATATACGAAAATCCAATAAATCAGTAGCATTTGTTACAGCTTCATATCGAAAATTAATATTTTCTCTTTCTGTACCATTTAAACATTCATCAAAATTTTTCATAAAATCTTCTATTTCCTCTGTCAACAAAATACACTTTTTTATATATAGTAATTTTAAAAGCACAAATTATTTTAATATAACATACGTTTTTGTAAATGTTTAAATTTCTGTTTCATTTGTAAAGTAGTATTTTTCTTTGTAAGTAATTTTGTTTCACGCAAAACCAGTTTTGTTAAACATTCGCGTTCGCATAATTTTGATGTAAATTTACGTTTTTTCTAAAATAAATAGATACATAAATATATATAAATAAATATTCAAAATTTTAAAACAAAATATGAAAATTGATCAATACATACAGAACCAAATTTTGTTTCTAAGAATGAAATATAATTTGGAAGTTTTAAAATAGGTGAATTATCACAAAAAACATGTTTTATTCCTTGAATAAGTGGCATTGGCTTCCAATCACATTCATTTATATCATCTACAGAACATATAGACATTTTTGTTGTTTGATTCCTAATAAAAATATTAATATTTTCATTGATTTAATATCATGAATTATAAAATTAATAAAATAGTTTTCTAAGAGGTACCCTCTTTTCCATGTATTAGGTAATTCTTCTTTCCATCTTACATTATCCAAATCATTTAATTCGAAAATTTCATTCTCTTTAAAAATATTTATTTCTTTATTATATTTTATTTGATCATTATTTTCAAGTTGTATATGTTTAACATTATTTTGATTATCCTTTTTTATTTGATTCACTTGTACAGAATCTTCAGTTTGGAATTGTTTTTTAATTTGATTCATTTCTTTGAAATTGTGAATTGAAGTCTTTTTATCACTATGATCTTGTATTATAGTTTGTTCAATATCTTGTTTCTTTGATTCATTTTTATTAGTAATAGCTTGTTTTAAATTACTATTATTAGCAAATGAACTTTCACAATTATTATTTATCACATTTTCTTTGCTTATTTGTAATTCATTTATTGATAAATCATTTTCCATTGATGAAGAATTTTGTTCATCTTCAAATTCATCATGAATAGATTCATTATCATTTAATGAAGTACTTGTTGTATGATATTCTGAAGTTCTAATATCAGAAGTTTTTGATTCTGAATATGATGACAATAAATTTTTTTCTTTATAAGAATCAAGTATACAAGTAAAATCATATGGTGTTAATTCATCCACCAACATTCCATTTGTATTTATAGATTGATTACATCTTAAAATTAAGTAAGATATTATATAAAAAATTAACTATAATAAATTAAATAAAAGAAAATTACCGAAAATCATATTTTTTTCCAATAATTTCTCCTAAAACATCATATACTTGAATAGGAATACATAATTGAGTCACACCATTTTCTAATTGTGTAAATCGATGACTTAATAATTTAATTTTTTTTTCTTGAAAATGATGTTTCTTGTTAATATGTTTTCCAATATCTTTTTCTAAATCAATAATTATAAAATTTTTAAAATCAATGTAAGTTTTTTTTAAAATTTTTTTCTCTTTACACATAGATTTTTTTATTTCTTCTTCTCTAACAAAAAAATAAAAAAAATTATTGATTATAGTGTATATAGTATAATTAAGTTTAAAATAAATAATTACTCATAGTTAAAAAATGTTTGTTTTAAAACTTCTGTCTCGTTAAGTAAACGTTCAATTCTTCGTACATATATATTAGTTGAATTTTGAAGAACAAGTGCTGCTTCTCCAAAGTTAATGTTACATGGTTCTTCTAATAAAGCATAGTATTCTTCCAAGATCTAAAATAATAAATAATATTTTCTTTTATATTTAATTATAATAAATTTAATATCATAATATACCTGAGATAATGGAAATTTCCAATCAGCAAGATCCTTGGCTGGTTTCATAAGTTGTATACTAATATCTTGTAATGTAACCATTTTATAAATTGTAACCAATTTAATTTCTTATATTTTAACAAAACTGAATATATACAAATATTTTCTCCTATTTTATAATAAATAATAATGATTAGGATTAAGTGAAAAATTATGAAACATTTATATGAAATGAAATCATTAAATCTTATTATTTAATAGGAAATATATAAATTATTTAACTTTTATACATATTTTTTTAATATTTAGTATTCATCTAGAATAGTTTAGACATAAATCATAAATTATAAAAATAATAGAGTACAAATCATACTGAATTATTTAAAATTTTATTTTTTATAAATCTTATAAATATTTTTATTAATATATGTATTAAAATAATAATTAAAATTTAAATCTACGATCTAAAAAAAAATTTATATTAATATTTTAAATATTTTTATTTAAAATAGTAAAAACATTTAATTATTGCAAAAAAAAAAAATAAAATTTTATCTCGTATTTCATATATATTAGATATTGTATTTTTATATTTAAAATTTCTAATCTATCATATTGAATTCAATTAAAAAGTAAAAAAAAAGATAAAAATTTTTAATTAATTTAATTAAAATTTAAAATATAAAATATTTACCTATATTATATTTTTACTTTTTTTTTTTTTTGAAAAAAAAAATTATCTGAAATAAATTCTTCTATTCTATTCATATTTTAATAAAAATAATAAAATTTTATTACATAAAAATTATATAAATTTAAAATTAAATTAAATTTTGAATTTATAATTTATAAAATCATAAATGTACATTAATCCTGCATTATATATAAATATAAATCACAGTCTACTTTAGATAGATTTAGTAAGAATAAATTCGGCAACAATGTCTGAACTTTCACTTTGATGTTCAAGTTATTAAAAATTACTAGTTTCGAATTGCTATGTTTTTCTATAATTTCATGAAATGTTTACTTCTAGCAGTATAGGTATGTTATAATAAATTACACAAATAAAAATACATTGCGATTATAGTATGCGCAATATAATGTATTTTCTATACTTATATAAATTATTTTATTTTTTTCTTTTTTATATAATACAATTGACTAATGATTAACTAAAATCAAAATTTTTAAATTTTTATTCTATATTTTATTTTAATTTTTAATAATTACGTAATACAATAATTAATTATTAGTATTATTAGTGATAGTAATACATTATTCATATTGTTATAATTGATATATATACATATATATATATATATATATATAATAATATTTGTTTTTAATATTCTATTTTATTTGACTTATAATGTCTTGTAATATTTAATAAAAATTAATTATATAATTTATATTCTATAATAATATACAATTAATATATAATTAATTCAGCTTTTTATGAATTGTTCTTATTACTTTTTTTACTTAAATCTTTTTACTTACACCATATTTATTTTTAATTGATCTAAAAGTTTTAACTTCAATTTTTAAGATTATAAATTATTAATAATTATTATTATATTATAAATTATAAATTTTATCTCATAAGATTAAAAATGATAATGTAAAATATATCTCATAAAATTAAAAGATTTTAAGATTCTATTAAAAATAATCAATGAAGAAATACATCAATTTAACGTTACTAATTGTAAATGTAATTTTTTTATAATATAGATTTATTGTAAACCAGCTATTTTTTTCACTGTATTAATATTTACTTTCGTAATATTAAAAATCTTTTTTTCTTTTATTAATTTATGCTTCATTATTATTTTAAAAGTTGCATTTTTATTTATAAAATAATTTAAACTTACTTTATATTAAAAAAAATATATTAAATTAATATAAATAGTTAAAATAAAATAATCCTAAATCCGAAGTTTATATATTTCTTTTATTATTTTGAATATTTATATTATTTTTACTTCTTATAATTACAATATTTATTATTATTTAAACATAACTATTAAAAAGAATTTGTATATTTAAACTAGTTATTTAGAAAAAATTATATTATACTCAAAATTCCTATTTACTATAATACATAACCTTTCAATCAGAATTGTCACGCAAAATTTTATTATTAAAACTATTATTTGAAAAAGCATAAGAAAGTAATAATGGTAGTGAAACTTAGAAACAGAGATGGAAGAAATAATAAGTAAATTCTATTTACAATATACTATTAGAATAAGGCAAATACTTTATCGAAGAATATAATATAATATAATAAAATGGAATATTTATTATTCCTTCCATACTTCTATTTTTAAATATCATTACTATTACTTTTTTGCAGATTTCTCTAGAATTTTCTTGTTTTAGATATTAATAAAAAAGATTGCTAAATTTATTATTATGGTTTGTATTTAAAGTAAGTTATGTTCTATTTTACCATTTTTTTTTTGTTTTCATTTTAATAATTAACATAAATTGATTTAAATGATTATCTTAATGAATTAAAATAAAAAAAATTTAACATTAAATTATTAAATTATTAAATTATTAAATTTTAATGTTAATATATATGTTAAATATTATATAAAATTATTATACAAAATAAAATATAATGTGTTGATCTTTTTCAATTTGATTTAAGAGAGATTATTGATTATTGAAATTTAATTATTCATTTACAAAAATAATAATATTTTTAATAAAATTTTAAAAATAAAATGTTTTTTATAAATAAATAGTAATAAAATAATTATTTTAATTATGAATAATTAAAATAATTAACGAATCAAAACTAGAATAAAAATTATTCAATTAGGCTACAAGAGATCAAAATACTACACATTGCGAATAATATTACTCTTTCTTAGTAAAAAATAATCAAAGATCTTCGAATATTAAAAACATAGATAGTAATGTTACTTAATATTGTTTTCAACATTCAACAATATCATTTTTGTTAAACTTAATAAAGTATATTTTTATTATTATAATGATTTGTTGCTAATTTTTTCCTAAGATTTCCTTTTCAAATCCGGATTGAGATTATAGAAATTATTCCTATATATTTATTAATATATCTATAATATATAATGCCATCTCTGAATCGTACAAAGTAAAATAATCATATTTTATAACTTAAATAATCATATCGATGAATGATACCGTTAATCTATAATAATTATCTAGAATATTTGTATCTTTCGAAATATTTTCTAATAAATATGTTTTTTTGTAATTTACTTATTTTAATTATTGTTTATTTTTCTTAGCTATTTTCTAAAATATGGTTGAAAACCTAAAAAATAACTCATGTTTTTAGAAATGTCATTGGCATGATTGTTTATCCACCATTTTGTTTTGCTGTCGTCTTCAAAGTTTTTCCTGGTACCGTGGCCTATTTTACAATGGGAACATTCCTAATATAGTCTTGGGACACGAAATGCGATATATGATACATTAATCGATTCTTCTTGACGAGTAGATAATGAAATTCTAAAACTTTTTTTGGAAAAATATATTTTTTTCTGTAAGAAACAAAAAATTAAAAAGTTAACCTATATGTTCATACGTAGTCATAAAGGTACGTATATTAGAAAATTGATATATTATTATTAAGAAAAATATAGCTAATTGTCATATATAACAAATTTAATTATAAAAAATTGTAGAAAAAAACTAAATATAAGAGACAGATTCTAATCTGAATCATTGAAAAATTATTTTGTATGTGCGTTACCAATCGCCTGTCAACGGCTAGATATTTATCTAGCCTAACCAATACTTATGTTTCTTTTGTATTTTAAAAAATTTTGATAATCATTTCAAAAAATTATTTTTTCATGGATTTAAGTGGTTACATATATAAAATGGAAAAAATGAAGAGAAAGGAATCAATTGGATTTCAACGACCTTGAAGAAATTGAAGAAAATTAGTTTATGTTAGTGTAAACGTCAGTCGAAAAAATTAAATAATCTAATATAAATGATTGATTAACATAAACTAATTTTCTATAATTTAAAAAAAAAAAATTCAAATCCATTGATGTATAATTCGATCAATGTTATATTGCTACGCTATTGCAATTTAATAAACATGATAATCATTTCTAAAATATTTATTTTAATGCAAAATTTTAATGCAAAAATTTAAAATGAAATTTTTTGGAAAAGATAAATTTTCATAGAATAATTTTCATGATTTTATAATTTATTCATTAAGATAAATCGATTACAATATATCGCATTTTGTGTCCTGAGACTATATAATTGTTAGGATTATATTTTGTAATGAATTAAAAAAAAAAAAAAAAAAAAAAAAAAGATTCAAATTTAGAAAAATTATAGAATCAGATAACATTCTCTGTGTTGGAAGAGATTTGCTTTTGCTGGACTTACTCAGTTTTTTAATGAATTTCTCATTATGAGGATTCATGAAATATCATCTCGAGTTCTGATCCAACTTTCCTGACTTCTTTAATCAAATGGCAATTATTAGATAAAACAAAAAATTTTCTCGCCATTTAACACGTAAGTTTAATATCTTAATTCTGACATTTAAATATGATTGTTTCAAAATTCATTTCAGTATATTTTCAATGTGCAAATTGTTAAACTTCTCTGAAAAATTATTTTGTTTGTTTGATAATGGTATGTTATATAAAATGTTTGTATTGTTGCAATTTGTGTGGTATTTTCATTGATTAATAATTAAATATGTATAATTAATTTATTTTACTTACTATAGGATGTCAGGTCAGAGTGGAGGGTATCGTTTACGGTTATCTAAACTCAACGATCAGCTGACATGTAAATTATGCGGTGGATATTTCATTGATGCAACTACCATTATAGAGTGTTTACATTCGTGTACGTGTATTCTTCTGTCGCTTTTCTAATCCTTTTGTTTGTGGTGAATAAATATATTTTCATCATTACAAAAGGGTTAAGTGATGATTCCAACATATTGATGTAAGCGCCGATTAACGTCGCATTACAGTTTGCAGGAGCTGTATCGTCAAGTATCTGGAGAACAATAAATATTGTCCAATATGTGAGGTACAAGTGCATAAAAGTAAACCATTACTCAATATTCGTCCAGACCATACTTTGCAAGACATTGTATATAAATTGGTACCTGGATGTTACCAAAGTAAGTATTATAATTAACTATAGAAAAAATTTATAATACTAATTGAAAAATTCAAGGGAAAAATAATACAAATGATAAAATTTTTAATTTAGAAAATAGATATTATATAAACATTAATATAAAAAATTTTTATTTTTTATTTTTCTATATTAAATATAGAAACATATTATGTATATATTTTTATATAAAAAAACGTATATATACATAAATTTGAGAAAAAATTGAAAAAATATTTAAATAATTATAGATTATTGAATTTTTTGTTTTTAAAAAAATTAATATATTTGTACAACTTTTATCTACTGAATCCTTTAATTAATTTAAATATTTATTCTCATTTCAGATGAAATGAGATGTAGAAGAGAATTTTATTCGAAACATCCTGAAGCATGTACTCAAGCAACATCTCCAGAGGCAAGAGGAGAACCAATTGAATCACATATATATTCTCCAGATGAATCTCTTAGTTTATCATTAGAATACTTTAGTCCTTCCAAGGATGTTAAAGGAATAGCTGTAAAACCTTTGTTAAGGCGGTATTTACGTTGTCCTGCTGCAGTAACTATTTTTCATTTACAAAAACTTATACGAGCTAAGTATGGCTTAACTGATGCACATCGAGTGGATATTATGTATAAAGAGGAACCATTATGTAGTAATTATACATTAATGGATGTGATGTATATTTATCATTGGAGGCGAGTGAGTATTAAAGATTTATTTTTTAAAAATGTTTGAAAGTTTAAACATTTTTTTTTGTAAATATTATATATTATATATTATTATTTATATAAATATTATATATTCATTTCAGAAAGTGCCATTGCATTTAAGTTACAGAATATTTGAATCTTCTCCAAAACGAATAAAACTTTCAGAAGACAATGTCAATTACAAAACTTCTTTATTCCATGCTGGAATCGATTCTATTGAATCAAAAGAAGAAAAATCAACAAAAAGAGAATGGAAAGAAGTACAGTTAAAAATTTCTGAAACTGGTATAATGAGTATTACAGATATAACGGACCAACAATTTAAAAAGAATACAAGAGTTGAAGAACCTATTACTAGTGTTGAAATAAATACATCAATAATTGAAGAAAATGGTGATAGAAATAAAATATCTGAAGTCAGTAAAGAAAATAAACACTCTTCAGATAACCAAGTTATTAATGAATCTGATATTTCTTTCAAATTAAATGAATTTGATGACCAAAACAGTTTTAATCAAATAGAATCTATAAAAACGTCGACAAAAGAAATAGAAAATATGATAAATTCTAAACATGAAGAAGAATCGAAAAATCAATCGAATAATAATAATATCGAAGATCAAATAATTTTGCAAAAAAATCATTTGCAAGAAACGACACAATATATAAATGAACATGAAATTAAAAACAATAATATTGAAAATAAAGATCAAAAAGAATCATCAAAAAATAATAATAATATTCTTACAGAAAAAGTAGAAACTTCTAAGCAAAATTCAAGAAATGAAGTAAAATTTGTAAATACGGGATCAAAAATCAATGCTTTAAGTGTAAAATTGCAATTTCAACCGAAAAGTGGACAAATTAGCAGTAGTAATGCTTCTTCAAAGAAAATTACAAAAGATAAAAAAATTATATCACAATTGTCTAAAAAGGCAGACATAAAAATTACTGAAAACTTAAAAACTACAGAATTAAAAAATTTTGATATTTCAAAAGAACAAGTTATAACAAATAATTGTGAAGTTACAATAAATAAATCGTTAGTTCCATATTGTACTAAAATCATATCACAAAAACCAGTATCTGAATTACAGGATAGTGTAGAACCTATTTTATCAACTTGTTTAAATACCTCAATTAATTCTGAAATAAAAGAAATGGAAACAAATGTAAAAAATGTGCAATCAATTGATCAGAAGGAAGAACATTCTCAAGGAGAAAATACTTTAGAAAAAAAACCAAGTATATCAGATCAAAATTTAACTGAATCTTGTCAAAAAACAAATGAACAAACAAATACTCTTTCTCAAAAATCACCATATACCCAGATTGAACCATTACCAAATAATAATACCGCATCTTTAAATCTTTCAACATCTCTATCTATATCTGCTGGCAATGGAGTTAATTCAGTTTCTACATCAACGATAAGTCAATCTCCATCTACATTTCCTTATACAGTTCAGGATTTAGTAAATAGTACAATGTTAAAACATTCTTTCAAAAGTTTAACGACATCAACAACTCAAAAATTATCTGCTACAGTTTCTACAAATGAAATATCTACATCTTCAGTATCTACATCAGAAAGTCCTTCAACATTTGCTGTACCTTCTATGAACGTTTCTTCTGCTTTAAAAAATAATTATCCAAGTACAAGTACAAGTACTTCAAAAGAATCCATTACAAAAGCAAATTTAGAAATATCTAATACATATTCAGTGCCTCCTTGCCCTGATGCTATTCCAATTTCTTTAATGAAACCAACAATACGTAAAAATGAATTAATTACGAAAGGTTCTAATTTAAATGAAATTTGTGCAAAAATTGGAGCTTCAGGTTCAAAAATTAATGATATTTGTGCTAAAATTGGAGAAAATTCTAAAGAAAAAAACAAAACAGAAGCAAAAAGTAAATCTGATATTCCAGATTTATTAAAAATTGGTAGAAAAAATGGTTCACCCGCAATTACTATTGATTCTACTAATAAGCATCAGCAACATACAAATATTCCAAATGTACCCATTTATTCACCTAGTAGCAATGCAATCACAACAGAAAATAAAAATATTTATTCAAATGTAAAAGATAGTGTTAGAGCTACTTCATCAGTAACTACTTCTTTAATAGTAACATCGCATTCTTTACAAAAAGTTCTTTCTGTCTCAAAAAAGCAAAGTCAAGCAATGGGTTATAAGACTCTTCGTGATCCTCCAAGATGCTGGAATCCTACACTTTCCAAAAACAATTATGTAGCAGTTAAAAATCAAAGTAAAGAAACGCAAAATCAATTACATCAAACTGTACTTTTTGAAAGAAGTAAAACAATTCAATCTAAACCTGCTAAGATTTTTAAAAGAAACATGTTAAGATATTTAGGCAATCCTGCTTCTGGAGTGAAACCAATATATGGTATTGGTAATGAATGTAAAGAAAAAGAACAATCAACAATGACATCAACAACAACTACAAATACATCTAGTAATTCCAAAAATGGAAATTTGAGTATGATGAAGATAGATCCTAAAACTTTATCTCCAATTGTTTCAACAGTTAATTCACCTATTGTTTCACCACCTCCATATTCTCCTAGTGCAAGGAATTATTCAAATCCTCCATTCTCAAGAGATATTTGTAGAAGTACTGGTTCATCAATATCTCCTAAAAATTCTCCAGTAAATATGCTTTCTACGAGTCCTTTTATACCCTCTCCAACACCAAATATGAATCCCGGATTAATTTATCCTCATTTTCCACCACCATTCCCAGATACTAATAGATTTCCAAATCCTTTGATACGTTCACCAATAGGAATTCCATCTCCTAGTGCCTTCCATAGTAATTTACCTCCTTCAATTAATAAATTATATCAACGATCTAGTTATATTCCACAAACTACTGGTTTTTCTCCTGTTTCACAACCTCCAACAGTTCAGAGAATACCACCAAGCACTTATTCTTCACCCAAATCACCTAAAACTACCTCTTTAACAGCAATTTCTCCTGCATCATACAACTTGGTCAAATCTGAAACACAAACAATTGCAACATCTCTTGAGACTAATAATCTGCTTCTTCCAGAAAATACATCACAGGAAGATGTCAGTGCATTTAATTTGTCTAAGACTGGAAATTTTTGTAATACAGAGACTGTTAAAATATCAACAGAAACAGTTCGAAATTCTAAATCAACTTCACTTTCTCCAAGTTCAAGTATTGGACAGAATAAAAACACATTGATTATTAATTCGAAGAATAAATTAGAAACATCTTTATTAGGTACTGGCGATCAAGATCAAAATAAAGAACGATTGGAAAAAGAAGTTACAAAATGTAAAGAACAAAATTTATATCTTTCAAAAGGACAAAATTCAGAAAAAGGTCGATTGGATGAAAATACTGACAATGTAAATACAAAGAAAGAAAAATCAATTTCTCAAATTAATGGAGATCTCATCAGTGAAAATAAAAACGAAATAGCAATTGATAAAGTTACAGAACAACAAAATGAAAAAAATGACACAAAGACGGTACAAATATCGGAAAAAATTATTGAAAAAGAAGAAATAGAAGAACCCAAAAATGAGAAGTGTGACAAAACCGAGGAACAACAGAACAATTCTGAGACTCAAAATAACAAAGCAAAAACATAAATTTTGTATTAAACAATTATATATATACAAATTTATGTTTTTGTATTAAAATATTTGGATATTTTATTTCAGATAAAACATTTTATCAAATTGTAATTCTTTATATTTCCGATAAATTTTTCCATATTACTATTATGAAACAAATTCAATAATTATTACGATTTTTAAATCACAACAAAATTTTAAATATATTAAAATATTATGTTTAATATATCATCAATATTAAATTTTTACTTTGTGACTAAAAATTGTAATAATTATAGAAATACTTCTTTAATTTGAACAAAAAAAAAATGACTAAATATATTCAAAACTATATTCAATATTCAAAAGATTGTATACAAATTACATAGAAAAAGTACTGCGTATTATTAATCATATTTATGTGACAAAAGTTTTTATAATATAATTTCACGCAGTTTGTTAGTTTACATTATTTATCATATTTTTGAACAGATTCTATTATTATTTGTTTCTGAATATGTCTTAGTCAACTAAATATGTAACCAAAGCCTCGAGAATTAATCTAATGTTCTAAGTAGATTTAGTCAGAATACAGTTTTTCGAGATTGGCTCTTTTTTTGCATACTCTCTTTTTTAAAAAAAAAAAACAACTATAGTAAAATGTCCGAGGCCTTATCACAATAATCTTATATGAAATAATGTTAGGAAATCAAGAGCAAGATCGTTGTTAGATGATTTAAAAAATGAGAAAAAGTATTACACTATAAGTGATTTCTCTCTTTCCAGCTTAATTAGTTAATATTATCGATGTGTCGCATCGCACCGAATTATTAAAATAGCACGCATGGATAAAAAGTCCATTATTAATTTTAATAAGTGCCGGAAAGAAAGAAAGTTAATGTATAGATAAATTTTTCATATTGGACGATCTTTTTTTCTTTTTAGATACATTTACTTGTAAATAGTGTATAATGATTCGAAAAAGTCTATATCATATATTAGATATAAAAAAATTATCAATTATTAATATAATTTAACACACATATTTTTAGGAATTAAGGAACGTAACGAATAGTATTTTTTGTCTAATATGAGAAAGCAATTTTTAGAGAGATGCCTGATTGTAGAGCAAAAAACAACGTATTTTTAATAAGTTATTAGTTGTGTGCGCGCGCGACTCTTTTGTATACAAGGTGTACCTGAATGAGTGAGTGAGTGAAAAATGTATGTGTATAATCTTTGTGTAAAAAAAATTTCAATATCGTTTAAATCAAAATGGTTTAAACGAAGTTTTCGAGATTTGTTTTATTTATAAAAACGTTGATCGTCGTTTGTTTTGAAATTTATGTACGTGTTCTACGTATGTTGTGTGCACGCGCGCATACTCTCTACGCGCGCGCGGTATCAATACAGTAATACTACATGAAGTAGAGGATGTTCTTTTAATTATAAAAATATAGTTGATTATACTTTACATGGTTTGTTATTTGTATAAGATTTTACCACTACACTTATACGTACAAATTGAGTTTATTATTAAACGATTACTATAATAATTATTGTGTAAATGTTAATATACAAATGTCAAATTGTTGATAATTATGCTTCATTTATAGAAATTTATATATTGTAAAAAAAAGTAGTTAAAACAATAATTCCAAGAAACTTTAAAAATATAAATGAGTTGTACTATATGAAGTAAACTAATAACTTAAAAATACAGCTAAACATTAGTAAGCTTTTCTGAATATCTAATAACATCTTTAAGCTTAAACACTAAATCTTGCAATTGCTGTATTGTACATGAAAATGTTACATAATTTATTGTTTCATGTTTTTTAGTACTAAGTCTCACATGATAAAGAGGAATACCAAGTGAATCGCATGTGTCCAACTGAAAATCATTTTCATAAATAAGAATGAATTAAACATCTTTGAATGAAATGGTCGGTATTTTATTCACCGATCAATTACCTTGACACAATAATCTAAATGCCAGTCTATATCAATGATATGAGATGGATTATTGCCTATCAATTCCAACTGAGATTGTATTGTTGTTTTATTGTTAATATATACTTCACATAATTTGCTAATTCTTTTTTCATCAATATATATGAGATTTAAAAAATTTCTTAAACTTTCTTCATCTAAGTCATGCCGAGAAGCTTCTACAAGTAAGCATACTACATCAGTAAAAGCTTTTTTTGTTAAAATTGGTTTTGAATCAGATGTTTTTATAGTGCCTAAAATTTAATTTAAATATCTTTGTTAATTATCTTTGTTAATCAATTGATAATTAAGTTAAAACAAATACTTACATTTTATTTCTGAAGGACTTTCATATATACATGAAATAGCTGTTTCTAAAATTTGTGAGAAGTTATCATCAGTAATAACATTTGTATTTAAAATATTAGCAATACCATCAATGGTATCTTTCGATAATTCCATTGTTATATCCCAAAAAATTAAATTCACTTATAAGTATGCTAAAATCATTTAGTTATTTTTATAATTTATATTTAGAAAATATTTTGTTTTTATAACTATAAAAGAGAAGAGGAGAGAAAACATAAATATTTGATAACTTTTAAAACATTTAAAGTTTGTAAGAATTACACAATAAACATATGAGGTTATCTTCTATATTTAACTATGTTTAATCTATAAATTACTATAATAATAAATTGTAATAAATAATAATAATAATTTTAATTTTCTAATTTATTTTATAAAATTATACCTTTCTCAGTTAATTATTTTTATTGAATAGAAATAAAATATGTACGTTTAGATTTATATAACCAGAACTAGATAATATATTTTAATTTTTATTATATTTAAAATTTTAACGAATATTTGTACATATAGAATATATTTGTGTATATAGGAATTAAAAATAAATGATTAATTTTTTTTAAATAAATATTTGTTTTATAATAAGAACGAAAAAATACAAAATACAATATATGAATTCACAGATAAGATTGATAAATCATACATTGAAATATTAAATTTACAAAAGTATATATTAAAAAATACAATTAAGTATATATATCAATGCTTATTAATTATAAATATACATATATTATATAAATAATTAAAATGATTTGAAAAATAACTGTTAATAACTATTATATAAAATTTTTTGAAATTATTAAGAAAAACAGTTTTATGACTATACAATGATTGTATTCAATAGATATTTGATTCATACGAATTGAATTGATACGATATAATAAAAAAAATTCTCATATGTATATTAATTTTAGTTAATTATTGTTTTACTATCTCATTTCATTTAAATATTAATTTCCTATCGAATTGACATTAATTTTATATAAAATTTATATTAATTATATTATCATATTATAAAATATGAAATAATATTAGTTCCGAATAATTTTTTAAAACGATTCATTTTTTAATTCTAATATAATTTTTACGAAAAAATATTAAAATAATGAAATACTTATCATTAATAGTAATTTTAAAATATAAATAGAAAAAATAAAATAAAATGACGATATTTTTTGCTTATTTCTTATTTAGATTATTGTGATTTTTATTAAATAAAATGTATATTATTGTAATCAAAAGATTTTTATTATTAAATTATGTATTTAATATCATTTAATATCTCATATAATATTATGAAATATTAATTTTTTAAGTCATATTAAAATTAGAAAATGTACTTCCTAAATTCTTTTTGAATTATATTTTGCAAAATATTTTCTCATTTAATTTAATGCATAAATTATTTTTTCTACAGAAATCCGATAACGTTGCTAGTTAAAAACCGATGAACATAATCATGGATAGAAAAAAACTTAAATAATAACATAAACGAGATACGAAATAGATATGACATCTTATAGAAATTCGGGATATGTCAGTAAAATATTAAAATAATAAAATATTAAATTTTCGAAAAAATAAACTGTTTTTTTTTATATCTTTTGCTATTTACCATAAGAAGTATAATATATATATATATATATATATATTTAATTATAAATATATAAACATATATTTGTTTCTATATTATAGAAAATTATATTCTTTTGCTCATAAAATAAAAATGTTATCGCTTAAATTGCGGTGATAATAATTTTTGTATGTTTTGTTTATAATATGACAGTGATATGACATTTTCAAAATTCATTGACGAAAGAATCATTTTATATACAGAATGTTCTACAGATATTGGAATATCCGTAAATTGAAGATTCCTAAATTAATTTCAATATTTTTCTTTGCATAAACTTTCGTTACGGCTTTGTTAATGAGTTATTAATAAAAAAACATTGGCCAATCACATAGCGCATAACCTAATCGAGTCGCGACAATAATATTGATTATGTACTAATGTTAGCATAAACAAATCTAAGCAATATATTTCAAAGAAAATGTGTTAAATTAAATGTAATAAATATTTTTTTATCAATAAAAAATTATATCAAATTATACTATGAACAATGAATAAATAAATAAATATAATATTTAACACATTTTCTTAACACTTTACTCTTCGAAAAATGTAGCCTGGATTTATTCGTGCTCAGTCGGTAACACGTAATTAATGCTATTATTATATGTTCCATATAAACATAACAAAAGTTTTTGTAAAAGAAAATGTTGCTTGAAATTATTTCAGAAATTTCCAATTTACAAATGTTCCAACATTTTTGGGATAACCTTAATTAATTGTTATATTACTATAGAATTGCCGAATGCGGACAATACATTCTATCATTAAATATGACTCAACTTTTTTTCGGTTAATTTTTTCTGCAAAAGAAGAAATAAAATTTTAGCCAAATGTTAGAATAGATGTTAGATTAGACAAAGACATGACACGATGCGATACTTGGCTTTAGTGAAAACTATGTAACATATTTCTAGTTTGATAACAATGAGAATAATATGTCATTATATATTTTCCTTCTCTGAAAATTTGTCGGAGAAAATTGAATGATACAGGGAATATAGCATTTTTATCTTCATTATATATATAATCTTATATTATATAATCTTTGATGAGAATTGAGATTTTAAAAATTCTCTTTTGAAAAAATGATGTTATAATCTCTCTCTATACAAATATCATATAATATAATATAGTATGATTATAACGTGATCTGCAATTATTGTATGCATAATGCAAATCGATATAAAAATAATAAAGTATAAAATAATGAAATATAAAAAAAAATTATCAAAAAAAAAGTTTCTTTGAAAATATATATTTGAATGTATTTATTAATTATTAATATATTTCTATTATTAATATAATTATAAATTTTATATAATATATAATAAAGAAAAAGTTAAAAATTATTCATTGCATATAAAAATTCAAATTTTTTAAGAAATAGACATATATTATTTGGAATAAATTGCCGATATATTAAATTTTTTTTTTAATTTAAATTTAAATTGATACATAAATATTCAAAATCTTATTATTTATTACTCAAACACAAAAAAATATATAAATAATATACATAATAAAAAATATATAAATAATTTTAAAAACTTGTAAAAATCACAAGCACAAGCATAACTGTTTCCATTCTAAATTTAAATAGTGCAGCGCGTTTGAAAATCGTAATATATAATTGCTAAGCGACATAATTCTCATCTTCATTTGTATATAATATGAATTATGATATTATACAAATACAATGATTTTAGCATATTTTCCTCAAGACGGCAACTCTAACGGAATTCAAAGTCGATTTGATTCTCTGATATTTCAAGATTATTTTATCCTCAATACATGATGAAAATAATATCGTTATATTTTTGGAAAAGTTATTGTAATAAACAAATTGCTAGTAATTTTAAATTTATGAAATAAAAATGTTAGATTTCTTAAACGAATATAAGAAATTAATAATATCTATTTCTATTTATGGAATATATTAAATATTAAATTTAAAAATTATTTAGCGAGAAATAAAATGAAATAGATTTTGATAAATATATATATATTTTTTTATATAAAGATATTAAAAAAAAAAAATATATCAGTGTTTTTGGAAAGTTAATTTTAAATATCAAAATGATGAAAAAAATTCATATATGTATATATAAACATGACTATCACTTATAAATCATACCAGATATTTAACTTTTATTGTAATAAAAATATATATTGCTAAACTTATTTATTTTTGTCAACATAATATTTATAAACAACAATAATATTATATATAATAAATAATAATAAACAATAATATAATAAACAAATAATGTAATATTGTTGGCGATTTTTGGCAAAATTATATTTCTGGTATATAGTGTTGTAATATATGTGATTTTAGAAATTTAAGATTATTAGAAATATAAATTCATTGAAACATAATTAGTAGCCTTCATCTATATTAAATCTTAAACGTGACAATAATTTTAATAATAAGTCAATGAAATTTAAAATTGACAATAATTTTAATAAAAGAAATTTTCGAAGAAAGTATATTGAATATATTATAATTCATTTATTGTATATAATTTGATATTTGATAATTCGATAATTTTTTATCAATAAAAAATATTTATTATATTCAATACTTTCTTTGATTTATATATATTGCTTGAACTTGTTCATGTTCAGTTGATAGTTTATATTCAATCTTATTTTTGCAGCTACATATAATTGGTATTTTTTTTTATTAATAACTTATTAACAAAATTATTAACAAAATCGAAACGAAACTTTTTATAGAGAAAAATATTGAAATTATCTCAGAAGTCTTCAATTAACGAACGTCTTTACATTTTTGGGATATGTTGTTTATATATATGTTTGATCTTATCTTATTTAGAAAAACATTAAAAAAGTTTTATTAAAAAAAAATTATAAAATTTCATTATTGCAATTTTATTTTATTGATATGTTTATTTTGATTATTTTTTTCTTATTCTTTTATTTGCTATCCTTTGTTAAATTTTTTAAAGATATAAAAAAAAAAAATTCGAATTTTGGAATTTCCAGTTATATTGAAATTAAGAATCAAAAGATTAATTTGATGACGCAAATGATGGTTATATTATTCATATACGTTTCTATTGAATAACAAATTTATTTTTTATGTCGCAAATAATGTTATACCAATAAAATTAAATAAGAAATATTATGCCAAAGTAAAAATTGTCTAGAAAAATTATTATCCTGAATGTTTTGAAACTTTTCATTTGTTTTAGAATTTGATATTCGTTTAGAACTTGACTTCATTTTACTTTTTATTTATGAATGTAATTATTTTTTTTCTAATAAAGATTAATATATATTTAAATAAATATAAAAAAATATAATTTTTTTTCATAAAATTATTTAAAAAATATTTTTATATACTATAAATTTTTTTTTTAAAAGCCAAGTTAACTAATGATTATAATGATTATAATGATGATTATAAATTATTTTATAACTTTTTTTTCAAAAAACTAATAAAATATTAATTAATCTTTAATACTAGATTTTTTTATACTTAATATTAAATTTTAATATTTTTTATGACAATATAATTTTTGTATGAAAAAAATATTTATTTATTTTATTCTTGTGAATAAGAAAAAAAAATTATAATCATAATAAATTAATAGTTTTGAAAACAAAAATCTTGCATTAAATAATGAATCAGAAAAATTTAAAAACATAATAAATTATGTACAAGAATACCATACCAATAAAATGTTTCATAATTACGTAATTCAAAATATATAGATTTCTTTGAGATTATCAATTGTTTTGATCTATATTTTATTTATAATATCATAGTTATATATTTTATTTATAATAATCATAATAAGATCTTATTTTTATTTCAATCATTTTTAATACTATAATTGTTTTTCATATTGAATTTCAATTGAATTATATAATAAATAATGTATTAATTTTTTATTATTAATAATTAATATATTATTCCTCATTAATTATATGATTCCTAAATTTTTTTTAAAAACTATGACATATTATGTATCTTGTTGCATTTTGAAATTGTATAAATTAAATTTTGCAAATTAGATTCGTATACATACATTCCAATGTCTTAACTTTTTATAATTTCTGTTTTTTTTCTGTTTTTAATTTCTAAAATCATGCAATACAATGGGTAGTATTTTTTCACAACAATTTCTTCATTAATAAAGAAAGTCTTTAAAATTGCATATTTTATTTTTTATTTTATTTTATTTTAAATTGTACATTTTATTTTTTTATTTATAAATTCACTTTAAACAGACAAAAATAAATAACTCATTGTATTGATCAACATAAGAAAGTGTATGAATAATACTATTAAATAATATGATATTAATACTATTTATAAATAACATATTATCTATTTAATTAATTCAAATATCATATACTACATATTCATAATATGTAATAGTTAAATTATTCATGATTATTTTGAGAATGAATTTAAAGTTGATTTTCTTGAAAGCAAAGTTTCAAAAAAAAAAAATTTATTTTTTATTTTCGATTTATTTTTTTATGTAGAATCATTTTTTATTTTATTATCGAAGCTGAAATATGAAACTAAGAAATTATAATTAATCAATTTATAGAAATCGATTTATATCAGTAAATTGAATTTATTCAATAGTATATATTATTAAATCGTTGGCATATATTTACTTATCATTAGTTTAATAATCGATGAATATAGTATATTCATATATTTCAAGCAATTGTATAACAGATTGCAATAAATGATTGTTATACTCATATTTTTCTTTGAATGAAAAGTTTTTGAATTGTTCTAATGAAACTTTATATTCAAAAATAAATTAATTTTATTTTTTTACATATGAATTATTTTGTTTATTATTGAATTCAATTTTTCCATATGTGATTAAATATTTATCTCTATAAAGCAGGTTTTGTTCATTTAAATAATCTTATAATTTTTGATTTCGTTGATGGACTTTTATTGCCTTTTCATCTTTTTATTCTCAACGACTGTATGGCTATATATTATGTATATATATATAAAATTTAATTTTATTTTAATAATTAATTAGTAAAAAAATTATAGATTAATTTTATTTAACTTATATCGTACATAAAGTTATATTATTATCTTTACGTTTATAAATATTAAAATATTTATTTGAATTACTCATTTGTAATTTCATACATAAAGCAAATAACAAAAAAAAATTTATTGTTAATAGTTATTAAATATTAATTTTAATATAAAAATGAAAATATTAGATTTTTTTTTCAATTTTAGAAAGAAATTATATATAATTTATAAAAATATAAAATAATGTTTTGGATTTTATTATTATTTTGCAATTGAAAAATTTTTAGTTTTTTTTCTGATCATTTTTAATCCAAACTAACTAGCCATCAGTTAAAAATATTGTTAATCAAATAATGAAAATTAAATATATGTAAATCTATTATGTGAATCATTTTTAATTCACATATCATACTCCATGACTTATATTCTGAAGATTAAATTTTTTTAAACAAACTATACACATATATTAAATATAAATTAATAGATCAATGAATTAATATTTCTATGGTATAATATTGTATCATAATAAAAAATACTTATAAGGTTTTTTTTATATATATCAATTTTATAGTCTTTAGTCATGCAAATATTTGTATAAAATCAGGAAATTAGGATAAATGAATTCAATTCAAAAATAAATAAAAAAATTCAATAAATAAATAAAAAATAAGATAAAATTCTTTAAAATTATTATATTTTACAATAATTTTAATAAATCCGTGATTCTATAATTATTCCCAATATATATATATACAATAAATCTTATTTTAAATAATAGAAACACAAAAGTTGAAATTTCCGTAACGATCGATTCGTGAAGTTAGAAGAGGAAGAATAAGCATACGCCTGCGCTACGTTCTCTATAAATTCTTTTATTTCAAGTACTTGTGTGAAGCAATAATATTAGAAGTAATAGGAATTAAATATGTAGTTTTTTGTAATATTTATTCATGTAATATTTTAAAGTGATCATATACAAAAATTGTCTAAAGACAGTAGCAAAAATGCGTAACAATGTAAGATTATAAACAAACAGTTACAGTTACGAGAGAAAATATAGTTTGTATTATTTTAATAATATTTATTCGTTTTCATATTTTTTTAGTTCGCTATATGTATGTATTTTTACTTCTATATATATATATATATATATATATATATATATATATATATATCAAAATAATAATAATAAAATTTTAACGGAACATATGATTTTTAAATTAATTCTTTTTTAGGAAATATCGACCATATATTTGTTGTTAGTATTAATTTTATGTGCAGAAGTGTATATGATAAATGCAAGACATTTGATTAAAAAGAGGAATTATAGCGATCAAAGTGTAAGAGGTTATTTAGCAGAGGTAAATAAATAATAAACACAAATGTGACATTTATTATTAATAGATACAAATGAATTTTTTATTTCTAGCGGACTTGTTGGTGGAATGAAGTTTGTAAAGAAGAATTTCACAGTAAATTTCGATGTCGTTGTCCAAGATGGTCCTATTGCCGTGCTCCTGGTAGATATTACGATGCACATTGTAGTATGACACGTACAGGCTATATTTGGACTCAACCAGAAACTTCGTTAACTCTTGAAGTTAATAAATGAATTTTTTTTTATAAATCTTTTCTCAATTGCATGTATTGCAAATCAAAAGTTCTTAATACCAAATTTATGTAATATTATCTTATAGAAGTTAATTAAATTTAAATTAATTTAAATTTAACTTTATCAATAAATTTTATCATTGTTATTGTGTAACGAATATACTTACGATAAATAATTACTGTTTATTTCTTATTTATTTCTATTCTTTCCTCGTATATATACATATTTTACTATGACTAATAATAATTAAATAAACTTAATTTCTTTTTGCATTTAATAAATTATAAATTAAAAGAATTAATAATAGAACGATATTTGTTAGAAGTTTTCGTATAAACTGTAAAATATAAGATTTATAATATGAATTATATAAGCATTATTATTATATTTTTAAATATTTATAATAATAGATACAATTGAATAAGTAATCCATATTATACTAGAAGAATAAACAATGATTTTTTATTAAATATTCATTAAAATTATTTCTTTTTTATTTATGGAAAATTATTGTTAATTAATGTGATTAAATTATTTATCAATATTGATGCTAATATAATATTACTTATTTTAGGCTATTATAAATAAAGAAAATATTTTATTTTAATTAATAAATTAATAAATAATTTATTAGTATTAATAAATTTATAAAGATAATTTAGATATATTTATATTATTAAATATAGTCTCATTTCATATTAATTAATTTATTTATATAAATATGTAAATAAAAAATTATATTTAATTATGAACATTACATATTAGTTTAATTATGAACAAACATATTAGTTTAATAATACAGTTTAACAATATAGCTACGAAATGTTATAATACAATATAAATACAATTTAATAATTAAACTATATATTTTATAAAAAGACTTATAAATGATATACATATAGATATTATGTGTGTATATATATATATATATATGTATAATTATATAAAAAAAAGAGAACATCTTTTATTTCTATTTAATTCTATTTTCAAAATATAATAAATTTTTATTGATCATAAAATATTTCAGAAATAATTTTATAAATATATTTTATATGCATTTAAAAGCATTTACATGATATTTATATTGTTTTATTTTTATTTCAATATATTGAAATGTTTAGAAAATTTAATTAATATCTAAAAATCTAAATATATAAATTGATATGTTAATGTTTTTTACATAGAAAATTTCAAAAATTTATATCTTTTAAATAATAATAATATCATTAAAATAATTATCATTATTTAATTATTGTTATAAATTAAATTATGTTAAATAATTCACTTTTATCATTTATATATATACAAAATAATATAAATATACTTAATAAATGCTTGTTTAATTACAATTTTCATTGTAGTTATTTAGAATATTTAAAAAATGATATATCTTTTAATATTATTTTTTAAAATTAATAAAACATATCTGTCTATAAACATAATTATTATTAAAAATATTAATTATTATTATATATATTATTTTCGAATATTTAAAATTTAATTTATTTAGAACATTATTTAGAATTTAAATTAATGTTGGAAATAAATAATATAAAAAATTGTATATAATATATTATAACCATGCAATAATTTTTATTCATATTTATACTTACTTTAAAAATTTACTGAAAAAAACTAAAATGTTGAACTAGTTAAATAAGAAAATGCATATTTTAATTATATACTTAAATTTTTATTATATATTATTCGTATTTTTATTAAATGCTTTTAGATATCTTTAATACTTTATATAAATACATAAAAATACGTAAAACAATGAATTTATATAATTATACTATATATAATTTGTACTATACCAATAATTAAATTTATGTATTTACAATTGCACATTAAAATGATTAACAATTTTAAAAATTTAAAAATTTTTTTCAAAAAATTAAAAATTAATTAATTTTATTACATTCAATTCCATGTTTAGTTGAAAATATTTTCATTAAAACTATAAAATTTTATATCTTATATATTTTTTATGTTATATAATTGTATAAATTTATGTTTTGATTATATATGCATTTGATATATTACAAATATATTATTATATTTAATTAAGTTTAAATTCCAGTTGAAAATTAAAAATAACATATTTCGAGATACAATATAAAAGCATTTCAAATTAAACAATATTATTGGCAAATATGAATTAATTTTAATTGGTTATGTTAATTGATCAAATCTAAATCATATCTATACAATTGTTATTTTCTGTTTAAAAACTATACATTTCAATAAAATAAATAAATATATATATCGAAAATCACATAAATATTAAATCAATAATAAAAAATAATATTAATAAATGATATTTATCATATTTTTCTTCTTATTTTTTTTTTTACATTATTTTATTATGTAAAATTAATTAATATATTATATAATTTATATTATGACAATAAAAAAACAAAGAAAAATTAATAAATTTCTTAACATTTTAGATAATTTAAGAAAATATCATTATATATATATATAAGAAATAATATTATTATTATATATAATATTATTATATATAAAAAATATTAACTAAGAAATAAAATACCATTTAATGGTAGAATTAACGAAAATTAATATTATCTTTTATTTTTTCTCATTATTTGCCATAATTAAAGATAAAAGAATACTTTACAAAATGTGCCATTTAGATTTCAATCATGATTGCATTTTCAGAAATTATATTATTATATTTTTTAAACGTTTAGTATTTTTTTAAATTATTATAAAAAAAATTTAAATATATTAAAAAAAATAATATTAAGATATTTATAATATTATTAAATAATAAAATTTAAGTATTATATTAATTAGAATAATAATAGAATAATAATAGAATTAGAATAATAATAGATAAAGAGAAAATATTAAAATTGAAAACTTAAAATAATATATAATCAAAATTAAATTATCAAAAAAAATCATTTTATAAAATTTCTAATTGATATATTCATCATCGTCATCATCAACAAATTTAATGTTTTGATCATAAAAAGATCCTTGTCTTAAACAAAATGTTTCTATACCATAATCTGGATTATGAATATTTAATGTAGTATTAATCTCTTTACTATTTAATTTTCGAACTTGAGAAAAACTTTTTAAAGGACTTCCTGATAGTTCTGTCATTGGAATATTTACTGTGTCTTTTAGATTTGTAAATGATTGATTACATTCCATTAATTCTTTATATTTGCAAGATATGTTATCTTCATCTTGATCTTTAGATATATTTTTTTGATTAGAATTTTGCTTTATTTTTGAAAAATCTTTTTGTAAAATTTTGTTCGAAGTAGAACTTAATTTTTCCTTATTATTTTCTTCATTATCTATCATATTTATAGGACTTCCAAGAAGACTTTTAGAAGAATTAGATTCTTCGCTTGATTCTTCTTCTTTACTTAAACGAATTCTATAAGAAATAAAAGATATTAATATAAATTTACAATTTAAGAAAAAATAAATGCATCCAATTCTGTTTTTTACATAATTTAAAAAATATCTTTTTTTAACATAGTTTATTCTGATTTAATTGAATTCAAACGATGTTATTTCAAAAATTTTTATTTGAATTTAAATCTCTATTTGATAAAAGATTTTTAGAATTTTTTATATTTATAATAAAGATTTATAATTATATTTTGTGAGTATATATAGTGCACAGTATTTTATATCAAAAAGATAATAAAAATTCATAATTTTATTTAATTTTTATAAAAATTGGTATTTTTATATTTTCTGAATTTGCTAAAAATTTATTTTGCTAAAATTAAAAATTCAATCTAGAGAATTTAATATTATTATCATAACATTTAAATTAATTATTGTGAAATCTTATAAATGAAATAATGAATTAAATACATTGATTTAAATTCAAAAATTTTTAAATTAATCTTGAAAGTTCTATTTTTTTTATTTTTATGGAAATATTAATATCTTAATATCTTGATTATAATAAATCATTTAATCATATAATATATGTAAAATAATTAATAAACTAAAAATCACAAATATTATTAAAAATAAATTAAGTTATTTAAATCCATAGTTTAAAATAATTTAAAAATGTATTAATTATATATACGAGACACATATATATTCATGTATGTGTACATTTAAGTTCAATTATTCATATGTTCTTTTATTATATGTTCTTTTAAATGCAATTAATAAATTTAATTTTACGTAATTTATTTTAAATTATATGTAAAAATATAATATAATAATCATTGATATTCATTTTGTTTAATGAATTGTATTAGTATTATTATTATTTTATTGCATTAATATATCAATAAAAATATCAATAAATTCAATAAAATATTAATAAAAAGTTAATTATTTCAAAAATTGCATTTCATAAGTTTTTCACAAATTTAAATTGCTTAATAAATAATAATTTAATAAATAAATCTTAATTAATAATATTTTTATATATCAACTTTTGTTGCTTTCTTCGCTTCTAGAATCAATTTTTCAAAAATATCCCATTAATATATTAGTATCCTAAAAAATCTCATTTGAAATATTGATTTTTATATAAATGAATGTGTTTACTATTAGAAAACGTAATAAATAAAATCTAATTTTTTCTGAAATTATTGCATATTGAAATTTCTATTTATTAACTATTTCTTAAAGAAATTAAATATTGTGGGGGTAAGTTTTATAAGACCTTCACTTTTTTAAATGAAATGGCATATTAATTTTTCAAATATAATATAATATATAATATGATATAATATTTTCTAAACGCATAAAAATTTTAAATTGATATTTATGATATTATGATACAATGCTTTCGAAGGGAACAGCTTATAACATTTTTTTTATTCCATTTTGTATGCATAAATTCTATTTTTTGTTTTTTCATTTAATTTACTTCATATATATTTTGTTTTTTCATTTAATTTAATTTACATATATAGATATGTAATATATTTATGTATATATTAGTTTATTTATGTATATATGCATATGGTCATATAATTATTTTTGTAAATTTATAAAATTACGAAATAATTAATATATGAATGAATAAAAATAAAGTTTATTTAACATTTTTGTACTTGAAAATAAATTTATATTAAATTTTCACATAATTTGTCTGAAATAAATTTTTTTATTTTTTCATGTATATTATATTCCTTTTTTTTTATTTTTTGTATAGTTTTTTCTAGCAATATATTTATTATGTAAAATTAATATTGGATGCATTTTAAATTATTTTTTTGTTATATATATGTATTAAACAAAATTTCAAGAAAAGAAAAAGTTAAATAAGTTTATATTAATTTATTATAATAAGTTAATTATAATAAGTTAATATAACAAGTTAAATATTAATAATTAATAAATTAAAAATAAATTTAAATAATTAATATAAAAATAATATAATACAATATATAATAATAAATAACAATATAATTTTATATTTTATAATAATACAATTAAAATAATAATTGAAATAATATACTTATATAATAATACTTTAATTGCAAAAGTTTAATAATTTAAATATTTTGTAATAGAAATTATTTTAAATTCTTTGAACTTTAAAATCTTTCGAATTTTTGATTTAAAAGTTTTCTTTAATTATCCTCTAAATAAATAAAATTAGAAGATTTTTTTTACTAATCAAAAAATATATATCAAAAAAATATTTGTTATTATAAAATTATAATCAATGATCTTAAATTATTATTAGAATATATTATAATTGTTATAATGAAATCTATTTAATGAATAATGATTACTTTAATTAATGAATAATGATTAATGATAATGATTATATTGTTGATTGATAATAATGACAAATTATATTTGTTACTTTTGTGTTCATTAAAAAAATTTTCAGAAATTTGATTTTTTGAATTTTAATTTCGAGATATGAGAAAGATTGTTTTATTTTTTAAATAATTTATTTTTAAATAAATTTAAAAATAAAATAAATTTTATTTTTTTAAAAATGTAATAAAAAAAATTTTATTACAATTTTCACTATATATATATATATATAGTGAATTAATTTTAATTAATTATATATATATATATATATATATATATATATATATATATATATAATTTGATTCAAATATGCATTAATAACTCATTTCAACTCATTTTGATATTGAAAATTTTTAACCAATTCCTATGTTATTTTCTAATAACATTCATTCTGAATTTAAAAATATCAATTTTAATTTTGAGAAATTATTTAATCGAAATAATAATTTGATAACTCTAATATTTTCATTATTTTTTAAAAAAAATTTCTTTTAAAAATTTTATTTATAATAAAAATTGTATAATAAAGAAATATGATGATAATAATTTTTGTTGTAAATAGAAAGTTTTCAGATATTTTTAAGTTATCTACTTATATTTTTTAAATGGTTTGCTTTACTTGATTTCTACCATAGAGTGATTCTTTTGTTAGAACAAAAACGACGAACTAGTGACTCGCACCTTTACTTGCTTGATTTGCATCCCTTTCATACTAATTTGACTCATACAGTCTATAGTGTTGTTCAGCAATTGATTGTATGAGAGCTACAAACAATGAATAGCAACAAACAATGCATACAATGCAATATATAATAATGCCCGTCTGAGCATTCGTTATCCCTATCAATTGAAAATGAATTCTCAATTGAAAATAAATTTTAAATGCTGAATATAATAAATTATTAAATGAAATTTGACAGTGATTTTTTATCTGATTCATATTCATTTTTTCTCAAATTGAATTTGCAAAAATCATTTGCCAAATAAACATATTGGCGTTAAAATGAATACTAATAATAATAGATAATATAAGTTTTACTACTATTAATAATAATAATAATAATAATAGTAATAGATCTTATTAAAATATCAAAGTTAAGTTAGTTTTGATACTTATAGTTTTATGCTCAGCATTTTCACAATTTAAAACATCATTATGATACAGAATGTTCCATTTGTCGACTGTATGATAGAAGAGAAATTACTTGATTGACAATGAATGAATAAAATATAGCTCATGATGAAAAAAAGATTCGTCCCTATTTTAGACAGTCACATATTTTTGTTTTACTTCATATAATATATATATAATATTTTTTTTAATTCATATATATAATGCACACAATCATCTCAATATCGGCCTCTTATATCATAATGAAGAACAATCGTCAAATTGTTCCTTGGAATAATATAAGGGTAAAAAGAATACTGTTTTCTTATTCATTGTCATGAAATATTATGTGATTTTATTCATAAATATGAAACATTATATATATATATTTACTTTTATAATTATATTTAATTTGATCGATCAGATACACATTTTTTTTAATTAATTATTAAGCATTTAATTAAGTATTATTTAAGTATTTATTATATATTGTTCACAAAAATTTTTTTGAAAGTTTAAATGTGAGTTTGATTGATTATTTTATTAATAAATCAAATAATTATAAAAATAGAAACGCAAATTTGATCGAAAATCTGATATTTATGAATAAAATCAGAGGAGAGGATCGTAAAAGTTCCTATCAACAATGTACAATAAATATATAAATATTTATTTACATATAATATCTGAAAGAAGTACCTACTAAGATATTTACTATTAATACATTTAATTTAAATAATCATAATTTTAGTTATAATATAAATTTAATTTATACTAAATTAATTAATTTTTATTATTTGTAAAATGAATTAATTTTTTAAATTTTTATATGATTGTCATTTGAAAATTATTATATGTGTATTATATATAAACAAAGTTAGATTATTTAAATTAAATATATTATAATATAAATAATATATTTATATTATATTATTATTAAACTAGTATGACATATATTATATGAATTTCATATTATAATTTCTAATCTTTCTCAATGATTTCTTATTCTTAAAGCTAGTATTTTTCAATTCTTTTGAATTTTGTTGAATATTATTAAAAAAATATATAGGAATTAGTCAAAAATTTTACTATAAATTAAATTGCTATTAATTAAAAGATTCGTTTAATAAAATTTTATATAATTTAATTTTATAATTTTTTATTCACATTATAAAATTTTAAATAATAGTGGATTAATATTATATCAATTTAAACAAAAATTTAAATACAAAACACAATGAATAATTATAAGTAAATACATTTAATATTCAACATAAAATTTATATTGTAATTAATTTTTTGGTATCATTATTATTTTTACGTACATATAATTATAAATAATTTTATTATTAAATAATTTAATTTTTATGTTTTATTTAAATTATTTTTATATTAAATTATATTAAATTTCATATCTTTCATGTCATAAATTTCTTCGTGACATATTTATATGATCTAAATAATACTTATATGAATTATTAACTTACCTCTTGTTTGAAATAACACAATATTGTTTTTGTTCAAGAATACCAGATATAGATTCCATGCTTACTTTGATACTAGAATCTTCTAGAAGTTTTTGCACAGGAAGTAATTTTTCAAATTTTCTTGTTCTAGAAATTTTAGAAATGTTATTTTTAATTAAATTTTCATAATTTAAATTTCAACAATTATTTTTTTCTTTTTAAAAATATTTTTTATTATTAATATAAATTACTTTTAATTAAAAAATTATTTAATATTTAATTAAATTACTTTTAATATAAATTACTTTTAATTAAACAGTTTTATAACTTATTGCATAAAATAATTCATTTGTACTAATTAAATATATATCTCGATAACTTATTATAAAGCTATAAATAACGATAACTTATTTATAAAGCTATAAATATTTATTTTAATATTTACCCTTGTTCTAATTCAAATTGAAAATCGTCAAAACTAGAGAGTTTCATTCTTCTATATTCAGAAGGTGTTAATGCAGCACCTTCAGTTTCAAGTGCCAAAATAGAATTTCGTTTATTTCTGTTTATAAGAAGCAATTAATAATTTTTATAAGAAGCAATTAATAATATATATATATATAGATGATTTATCATTATTGATAAATTAATTAAAAAAATTAGTATTTACCCTAAAAGAAGATCCTCTGTATTAAGATTTAAGTCTTCAATTGGTGGAATCCAAACTAAAAAAGCAGGATCCATTCCTAAATAAGATCCTGGAACAGCACTAGCATTTGCTACATTATAATCATAATAATCTAATTCCAATTCTGAATCAGGATTTGTTAAACTAAATTCTGATCCTGGACCTTGTAAAAGTTTTTCACGATTTTTTCGTTCCTTTGTTTCTTTTCCACTTGCTAAAGTTGATGAACTTGAAAGAATACTTTCAGGTGAAGATTCCTATATATTAAGAGAAATATAAAATGATAAAAATTACTGTTTCTATATACTTTACAAAGTTTTTGAATAAAGATATTTACTTTTCTTTCTGAATAATTATTTTCATTATTTTTATAAATTTTTAAAATATCATTCATGTTATCTTTCATATTTTCGCTTTCCATTTTTGATGCTTTCTCTTTTAATGTATCAAAATCTATTGTTTGTAATCTATATATAAATTATATTAACATTATGATTAAATTTTGTCAATTTTTTAATATACTGTGATATTAAATAAAAAAAATTAAACTTACTTTATAGGATAAGCATATTTAACTTCAGGTTTATTATAAACAAGAATGCTGGAAGCAGATAATAATTTATCACAGTTTGATTTCATTGAAGTGATTGTTTTGTCAGAAGAAGTTTCTATTGTATTACTTAATTTTAATGTACTAGAACTCAATGTAGATTCATCCTTACATCTATATTGAAAAATAATATTTATTTTATAATTTTTTTTCTATTTTTTCAATTATATAACATTTTTATTCATTTTTTTTATTTTATAATAATATTATTCTTACCCTGTTAATGTTTCAGTGCTTTGATAATGTTCTTCTGTATTATTTAACATTTCTTTTGGAGAAACTTTTGTGGTAGTTTCTATCATAGAAATAACTTCCGAAATAATTGTACTTGTAGATAGAAATCTCGATCGATTAGGCATTAATTCTAATTAAAAATATATACATATAATTAATATTAATTTCCTATATATCAATTTATAACAATTATGAAATAATAAAATAATAATAACTACTAATTTTAGTTAATAAAAAAATTTAGTTTATTAAATAGTTCATTTTAATATAAATTATTCACTTTATATGAAAATAATAATACGAATTTATATTAATAATATTAAATTAATTAATTAATTATTAAATATAATTATTAAATATTAAATTAATTAATTATAATGTTAATAATAATTATGTTATAATTATTATTGAAAAAATATAAATATTAATAAAAAATTAATATCAATAAAATATTATTCTAAAAATAGTTCAAAAAATAAATAATAATAGATAAATAATATTATTATTTTACCATACCAGAAATATCACTCGTACTGTCCAAATCTTCAGCAATACGATACTTTCTATATCTTACAATAAATTGTAACGTCAAAATAATAGAAAGTGAAAATATAAGTAGCAAGAATAAGGTAGTTGTTATATGTATTGGTTCCCAAGAGAACCAATCTATTTCAACGTTCGTTGAATTTGTTTTAAAAGGCACAACGGTTGTGGTTCTATTTCTTTTTAAATATTTTTTATCTGTAATTAAATTATATTAATTTAAAATTTTCTTAATTTAAAATTATTTATATATATATTTATATAATTAAATTAAAATTAATTTTAATTATTTTTACAAAATTAAATTCTTATAACAATTATCTTTAAATAATTTACTTAAAAATTATGTAATAAATTATTTTAATTAAAAAAAATATAATTTTTATAATAATTATTTTTACCTAATACACCCGCATGAGCAAGAAAACCACCAATACAAGCATCTCCTGATGCTATAAGTTCATCACTAAAAAATTCCACTAATAAATTTGGTCCAGAGCTAAAGAATGTCTTGGCAGTAAGCTGCATTTTATCAAATGCAATATCGACTAAAAGATTCGCATTCAAAGTATTGCCATCTCGGATACGAAAATATTGTCCCAGACAAGGAAATTGTAATTGATCTAAATGTAATCCAATTACGAAATTCGGCTGTGCCTAAATAATATAAATTATATCTTATTCGAAATTATTCTTTTTATTATTATCAATTATCATAAATTATATTTAGATTCTTCTATATATAACAATATTATTTTATTTCTTTGTATTTATGTTATGTTTAATAAATTTACAATATAAGTTAATTTAAAAAAAAGACTATATTCATTTTAATAAACCTAAAATTTAGATTTATTTACATTGAAAAAATCTTTACGTATTAATAACTTATTTTTATAAACATAATAAAAAGTATAAATATATTAATTTTCATTATAAAATAATTTAAATATTTTTTAATTTTTAAAATTTTAAATTCATTATTCTTCTGTATCATTTGCATTTGAATAATACAAAATAAATAATACAAATAAATAATAAATAATAAATAATACAAAATAATAATTTAATTAAATCGAAAATAATATCATTTTCTAATATCATTATTTTAATTTAAATATTATTTCATAATCTAATCTTCAAAAATAATTTATTAAATATTTAATATAATATTTGTTATATTAATAATTTAAATTAATTCAATGTTACCTGCAAAAGCCAAAAAGATCGACCAGGACAAGCTTGAGTATTGGCTCCAAGCATTTTTCTTAAAGTTTGTTGTTTTAATACAATACGACATCCACAGCGACATTGTAATCCAATTTCAGCTATAACTTCTGGTTTTGTTGCTAAAACTGTATTATGACATTTAGAATCCTCAATTCGATTGTGCCATTCATCTTTAATAGATTCATTCCAAAAAATTTTGCCACAAAATTCAGTTTCTATTGCTTTTCCCTGTTATTTAATGAACAAATTTTATTTTTATTGATTTTATTATCATTATATTATTATCATTTTATTATGCAATATAAAATTTAAATAAAATAAAATGTAAATTAACTATATTTTATTTTATTAATCAATTAAATATTTTATTTAAAATATTTTCAAATATTTTTGAAAATTTACCTGGCAAAATTTTGCCCCATATTTTGGTGGCGGAGTATCACAAAAGCGATATCGATTTCGAATTCCTCCGAAACACGAACTACTACATGGACTCCATGGACTCCAAGGACCCCATCCCGCAGTATCACTTTCTAGGTAAATTAATGTTAAATAAATTTATATTAAAAAATAATTAAATATTTAAAAAGTAACTTAAGTAACTTAACTTTCAAATGTTTATATAGAATATAATGTTTACACATAAAATATTTTCTTTGTTTTTAATATTATGTAAATTATTTTTTTTAAATAATTTTATAGAAGAGAAATTAAATCTATATATATTATATATAGATTTATTATCATTTTGTTTCGAATATTTTCAAAATCATTAATATTTTTTATTAAAAAATATTAATTATTAAAAAAGAAAAAATATATTTTATATATTAATAATAGATAAAAATAATACTGTAATGTCTAAATCATGATCTTTAAATTGAATTTATATAGTATGTTACATGAATTTTTGAGAAATTTCTCTCTATAAATTCATTATAAAACGAAATGAATGAATGTGACAAAAATTTATTAAAATTTGTAAAATTATTTAAATCTGCAAACTTTAATAAAAAAAATATAGAATTTTTTACTTCATTTTCATTATTAGAAAAATTTTCGAAAAAATTCAATTCATAAATATGAAAATAAGGGCTTTATTTTTTAAAATAAATGTAGATAATTTTCTTTTACGCAGTCACAATAATTTAATTAATTAATATAAAAATCGAAAATTTTTTTATCAAAATATAGTAATTATTTTAATAAAAAGCATATTTTTTTATTCAATATAACAATATTATTAGAATATTATAGATTAAAATATATAAAGTAATATAATTTAATATTAAATTATGAAATTCAATATTCAATTTAATGATATTATTAGAATATTATAGATTAAATTATATAAAGTATAGATTAATTATATAAAGTAATCTAATTTAATATTAAATTATGAAATTAAATATTATATATTATAATTATATGAAGTATACATATCTTTCTTCTTTTTTAATATTTAGAACAATTATAGGATATCCTATAAGAAAACTGAATAACTGTATGAAATCATTTCAGAAATGTGAAGAATCGATACAAACTATAAATATATATAATGTAAATGATAAGATCGAAAATTAAATTTGTCCTTTATTCGTTAAAACATTAAATAAATTTGTAGAAGAGTGTAAGAGAATCATTATTTCCTTTTATTTAAAATAAAATATTATAAAATATTTTAAAATAAAATATAATAAAATATTCAAATAAACAAAATTAAAAAAATTACTTTATTCTAGTGAATAGTGATATAGAATATAAAGAATTTTTTTTTTAAATAAATTAATTACAAAATTTTCACTCAGAATAATTTGGTAAATATACTTCTATGTTATTTAGTTTTCTTTCTATTTTATGATTGTATGTAGGTTATATTTGATCTGCGAGAAAGATATATTGAAGTCATAAATTAAAAAGTTAATGAGTGACATCGATTAATATAGCCGCACCTGTATGCACGCAAGTACTTATTTTGTACACTCCCATTCATAAGTCATTAGACACTTTAGATTATGTTTCAGAATACAAACAAATGAGAATTATGAACAATATGACATAATACTAATTAATTGTTTAAAAAAAAAATATTATATTTTAATAATCTTAATATAAATCTATCTTATTTGTTAATTGTTCAACAAAAATAATAAAACGCAACATTATTGAAAAACATAAATAGAATATATAATTCATATTGTTATATTAAAGTGAAAACATATATATATATATATATATGTATATGTATATATATAGAATATATGTATATATACAGAATAATAAATCACTATAATGTATATAATTTTAGATTATTATACAAATTTTAACAAAATTTTTTTTTAAATAATTTAACTTAACGAAAAATATAACTTATCATGTTATAAATATTTTTATTTATAAAATTTTTTAGAATTGTATAAATTAAATAAAAGAAAGAATTATTATAAAAAGAATATTTTTAGAGAAAAAAGAATACAAACAAATAGTTAAAATTTTATAACTTTAATATTAAAAAAACAATGATTTATGGAAAAAATATAGATATTTGTTAAATGTACATTAAAAGAAATTTTAATATAGAAATATTTTGATTTTTAAATCGCTAATAATATTTAAACTGATATTTACTAAATTTTAAATTGATATAACTTTTTATAATCTTTCAATATTTATTTTTATTAATTCTATAACATATATTACGTATAAAATTTTTAGAATATACTATAATGAAGAAATTAATAACATATTAATAATATAATTATTAATAATAACATTATAGCTTATAGAAGACCTATTAATAACTTCTAAATTAACATTGTACGGCTTTGAGGTCTTAATTTACCTCAAAATATCTCAAATTATGCCTGTCTTATTTTAATTCTTTTATTTTGATTTTTATATTATATAAATTTTTAGTTGATTTTATGATTTTACTATTTTTCAATCGATCTTATATGTGTATATTTAATTTATATTATAAATTATTTATATTGTATTAATAAGTTATTAAAATTATAAATAAGTTTTAAAATATAGAATTCAAACATACCTTGGAAAGGAAATGTAGGTATGCAGGATATTTTAACATTTCCCATGGCACCTGTGATCGCCTGACTAACATAGACAAAACAATATTCTATAAATTTTTCTGTAAAAAGATCACAATCGAAAGCCAAAGAATGCTTCCCAGGTATTGATCTTGATTCTGTAATATAATGAAGACTGGAAGGTGAAGCAACGGATGTAACGTCAGCTTTCAAACGGCCATAAACACGAATACGATCACCTTCTAGACGACACGAAGGATATTCGAAAAGGACAGGGACACCTCCTGACCCTTCACAAGGATATATAGATCTTGCATGAACTGTAAGTTTAAATTCTTCGGACCAACTCACCTATAATCAAAATTTGATAGTGATAAAAAAATATTTGTTATTATTATTATTTCTAAAATTTTATTTATAAATAAATATAAATTTAATTTATTTATTTATTTAATTATTTATATATCATATTAATTCACTATTATATTGATTACTTTAAAATACACGCTAGTATTTGGTGCTGTGGGATTATTATTCGTAGCTTTTAATCTTATAGCATAATTTCCAGGTAATCCAAAAAGTTCACATCGGAAAAAAATAGTCTTTATTGGTAGAAAATCTCTTATTTCTTCGTAATATAATATCTGAAAATATAATATAAAATTTATAAATGATATCTAATAATTGTTTCAACATTAACGATGATTATAATTGAATAAAATAATAATAGTAATAATTGAATAAATTAATAATAATAATAATTCAATACGTATATCTTAAAAAATTAAATAAACTGAATAAAACCAAACAGAATAATTATATTTTATTTCATATATTGAAATAATTATATTGAATTGAAAAGAAGGAGAACAAAAATTAATTATACAAACACTATATATTATACAAATCTGAGATCTCTTTTATGCAACAATACTACTATTGTCATACTTATATAATTATATTAATAAAGTCATTAAAACAAATAACTATCGTTTATTAAACTTATGACGATATCATATTAATATTACCATATGAAAGAGACATAAGAAATTAAATACAGTATTTAAGAATAATACTTCATTTCACTGAACAATAATTAAAATAGACAATATATACATTTGACTTAATTAAGACAAGAAAATGTACGAGAAAACACATATATAAGAAAAAAAAATGAAATTATAAACTTAACAATTATAAACTTAACAAAACAATAAATGCGGATAGAACAATTACAAGTAACATAACATATAAATATTATAATATATAGATATAATATATAGATATTATATTCATCAACAAAAAACTTAATTAATATTAAATATTAACATAAACATCACATAAAATGAGCAGAAAAAATAAAAAAATACTTATCGTTAGAAATAAATATAAATTCGTATTTGTATATTCTTTTATTGATATTATAATAAAAAAAATTCCGAATCCTTTCTAAAATAATAGATTTATATAAGATATATTTGGAAGATACTTTTGGAAGATAAAGGCTAAAATAAACACGTATATAAAAATATCATTTAAGGCTTATTTATTAATTTATAAATAATGAAATTTTTTATTATTTATATTATATGAAGCGAAATAGAAAAAGATTATTCTCTCTTCATTAATTGAACCTTCAATTAATGTTTTTACATATTAATTTTTGTGTTTGTTTTAATTTCTAGAATCAATTCTCTAAAGATGTTTCACAATATTTTAATATTCTATACATATATATATTATAACAACAATTTTTTAAAAAATTTCTATTTTTTAGAATTGGTAGAATTTTGAAAGTAAATGTCTAAATTGTGAATTTTCAATTTGATATTATAATATGATATTTTAAAAATTTTTTAATGATTTACTATTCATAATCATTTGGTTTAAAATCGCAATTTTTGAATTATGATTGTTGCAATAAATATGTGATATATTCGTTCAAAGTTATAAAAAGCAGTTATACTAAAAATAATAATCATCAAAATATTTCAATAATAACGAAAAAATATATAACATGGTAAACAAATAGATAGTCTTTAAATAATAGAAATATAAAAATATTTAAAAATAAAATTGTAAAAAAATTAATTATTTACTTGAATATAAGTATTATTCTGCAAATAACAAGCAGTTACACTAGATCCACAATATATTAATTGTAAAATATAGACAGCTACAGGAACATTTTCAAATGGACTACAATTCATTCCATTATATTTTATTGTGGTTTTGACAGGTTCGTCTGGATAAGTAATAATTTGTTGAGATTCTAAAAATATTGCTGGTAGTGGCCACTTTACATCTAATATTTTACTTGTCTGCAAATGAAAATATTTATAATTTATAATTAAATTTTATAATTAAATTTATAAAAATGATTATTAATGTATTTTTTTATTGTGAATATTGCAAAAGATATAATAATAAATAAAAATATTGAAAACAAAATAATGTTCATGAAAATAAATTATATACATAAATAAATTAAAAAGAACCTGATGAAAGTTGGCAACAGGCACTGTTGAATTTTCATACATGTGTTCTATTCGTAGAATATAAACACCGCCACGAGTAAAATATCCGCAAGGAATAATAATTGAAATTGTTTCATTTCCTGTAGGTAATTTTTTTAATTGAATTTCACCAATTAATTCTGATATGTCTTCAAGAAGGTACAGTATTCTATAAATAATATGAATATTAAAAAATAGCATACAATATCATTAGAATTCTTCTTTATATTTTAAAAATAATTTTTAATAATTGATAACACAAATTAACTCACCTTAATAGCATAAATTGATTAGAAATATTTTTAAACGATTTTAAATTTTCATTTTCTTTTTCTTTGAACTCATATTTGTACTTTGAATTTTCTAATGTTTTATTTGACTTCGCAACAGTTATCGTAAGGTCTCCCGAAAGAGCAATATGAGAAGAAGGGGAATCAATTTTCAATGCTGAAAAATCTTCTTCATTTTCTGTCATTGATCTAGTGATATCTATATTTTTTATTTTATTAATTATTAATTATATAATAATTTCTATTTAACATACTAGATATAAAATTAAGTCATACAAAATATTATTATAATAATAATATATATAAATATTTAAATAGCAAAATTAAAAAGCAAAAATTTTACCGATTTCAAGGAGGGTGATAACTATTCCAAGAAAGAGCCATTTAAATTTTAAATTCATATCCAATTCCTCATCCGTATTCAATTTCTAGAGAATTGTAAAATAAAAAAATTTGAATTTATGGATAAAAAGATAATATTTATTTACTAAATTATTTTTTAAAATATTTTTTACAAATAAATCGGTTATAAAAATTTAAATAATTTCATTTCTAATATCATAATCGATTAATTTTGAAATATATATCTATACAATAATATTTATAAACTTACAATTTTCTTGTTTATCTCGATGCAAACATTCTCCTTGAGAAAAATTGATCTTGTATTGAAAAAAGGGGAGTCATAAATGTGTTGTTCGTGGATGCACTACTGCAAATTATAGAAATCGATATCGAAGGACTTGCACCGCGAACTTTCACTTTCTAAGATTCTTCCATTTTTATAATTTATAAAAATATTTCACAAATATTGTATATCATCAATATATTGTTATACACCATTAGTTTTATAATTTTTCTTACTTATTTATTTTTTTAAACTAAAAACGTAATAACAAATTAAAAAATCCATCAAATATCATGATTGTATTTTAATAAGTTGAAGTGCAAATTTTAGCATTCAAAGTTCTATAATTATTATTAATTTATTTTGTTTTATATAAAAAAAATGACAATTTAAAAATATCATAAAAATATCAGTTGCAAAATTTTATTATATAAATTAGCGAAAATTTTATATAAACTGTGCGAATTAAAAATTCATATTATTTAAATTAAACATATAATAAAAATCAAATTAAGAAAAATTGATATAATTATGAAAAAAAAATTATTGTCACGAAAATTTTAATTCTTATAAAATACAAAAATAAGTATTGTAAACAAAAAATAAGTTGTAAATAGAATCAAATTAATATTAAATGTATTTTTGAAATATATTTATATTTTTATATTTTACTACAAATTCCACCTTTTCTTTTTAATTTTCACAACATTCTCATTGAATAATAAAATAATTCTTAATAATTACGTATTAATTATATATTAAGCACAGAAATATATAATAGATTTAATGATAGGAATATATGAAAAATTTTAATCGAAAAATGTAGGCAAAACGCAAACGATTCATATGCAATTCGTAAGACAACTAAACTGTCGGGGTCGACGGCCAATACTCTCTCCCTTATTCGTTGGTTCACCCCACTACGAAGATTGTCCTTTGGGGAGAGAATTCTGACAGAACATCGACTTTAATCAATGGAGAGATATTGACCTAAAGTCTGTTTTAACAAAGAACTGCTTTTTTTTTTATTTTTTAAAAAATAAAAGGATTACTTTTATTAAGAGAGATTATTATTTAAATATCTTTATTTTATATTTTATTAATGAATAATTAAAATAATTAGTTATTATGTATTTATATTATGTATATATATAATAATAAAATGCAAAGAAATATAAATAAAAAAGTAAATTTATAAGATTTTTAAATATATTTATAATTTTTTAATTTTCTTATGTTTTTATTCGATTTTATTGAATTTTTTGTTTGTTTTTGAATTCTTATTTGCATATTATTTATTACTTAAACAACTTAAAAAAAAAGTTGTAATTAAGCATTCTACAAAATAATTTAAAATTATTTTGTAATAAATTATAAATAATTTCTTCATATATAATATGAATCATTTATAGATTATATTATACTATATATTATATACATAACATAAAATATAAAATATTATTCCAATTAACTTTAAATAATACAATAGATTTATCAACAAATATTTATTAGAATATTTAAACATTAATATAAAATATTGATATTTTATATATATATATATTATGCAAAATTTTTCAAATTTTTAGATGTAAATTTTAACTTTTAATAATTATAAATATAATATTTTCTATATATTCTATATATTCGATATAATATAAAAATCTTATATAAATATTTTATGAAGAATATTTAATAAATATTTGAATTTTTCAAATCTTATTATTATCTTATATATATTATTATCTATCCTGAAATCTTTATTTTGTGATTTTTTTTTTATTTTTGTATTTTCTTTTATATATATAACATATAAAATTTTTTTAAATTTTATTATTTTATTGATATTATATAAAAATATTTAACATTTACTTAAAATTACAATTTTAATTATTATAATTTATATAATATTTATTGTAAAATAAAATATATTACTTAAAATTTAAAATATTTAAATATTAATACTTATATCGAATATTAATTTTTGAATTAATTTTTTATTATTTTTTTATTTTTATTTTTAAATATTATATATAATATATAATATATAATATTATATATAATATTATTATTAGCTATTTATTAGATTTATATTGCATTCAAAGAAACAAGCCTAAAAGTGAACAAATTCGATATATGGTTATGCTGGCTGCTAACGTCAGCTATTGGTTAACTTTGAACTTATCGATATTAAGATCGGTTTATATTATTATATAAAATATATCAATGCTCATCGGTATTATTGACATATTGATTATTTATTTTTATAAAAATATGCTATAAAAACTTATGAATTTTTAAAATGAATTGCTATATTGAAATTTTATTATGTTATTTATATATTTATATTAATTTATAATATAAATAAATTAATATATAGAAAACTTTAATCTTATAATTGTAAAAACTTGATCCTAATATATCTAGATTTTGATCACATGATTTTGTTGACATCTAATAATTCGATTCGTTGAATGAAGTATAGTTTAATCAACATATGTTTAAAAATACAATGTTTATAATTCATATCTGAATTTTAATGATTTTAATATTTTTTTCTACTTAACTGCAATAATTTATATATTTCTAATTTTTTATAATAAAAAATTATAATTTTTTATATTATACAAATTCTTAAATGTAAAATATTATTTATCATGTTTTTTAAAAATAATTAAAAAAGTAATTTTATTTATTAATTTCATGTAATAATTTAAAACAAAAATATTGAGAAAATTTTATATAATATATAAAATATAAAAAAATTAAAATAATGCTTACTAACTAAATATTATTAATATTCAGGTTGGTAATAATAGATTATTAAATGAAGGCTAGTAAAATATAACCATTGATAAGTTCAACGAAGTCATTGTGTCAAAAGTTATATTTTTTTTAATATAATAGCATTAAGTTTTGGCATTGTAACAGATTTATTATATGATACTATTGAATATTTGAAAAAATTATTTTTCGTATAATATATAAAACACATATATAAAAAACATATCAATACATAATATTTTCGAAAACTAAAAAATAATAAAATTTATCAAACAAAAAATAAAAATCAAACTGTTTAGAGAGAAAAAAAAATATTATGGATTCTTTAATTTAAAAATATCTATTTTTAATTATTAATTATTCAAAAAACACAATATTCAAAAAATCAATAAATGGATACTTAAAATAAATTTTTAAATAAAATGGATGTGCTTACAAAGTTAAGAAATACTGTTAGCAATACAATTTCTAATACTGTTCAAAATACTGCTTATGGCTTGTCACAATTATCAAATGTCCTTCCTGGTAATCCAGTAACCAGAGAATTTGAAGTAACTGCTCATATTGCGAGTGCAGGACCATCATTATTGTGGAAAGTATACAATGGTTACAAAAAATCTACAAAACAAGAGGCAGCAATTTTTGTATTTGAAAAACGTATTTTGGAAAAATTTTCAAAAAATGATAAAGAATTAATCTTAGAAACATTAAAAAGAGGTGTTGCACAATTAACAAAATTACGTCATCCACAAATTTTAATTGTTCAACATCCTTTAGAAGAATCAAGAGACAGTTTAGCATTTGCAACTGAACCTGTTTTAGCTAGTTTAGCTAATATTTTGGGAAATCATAATAATTTGCCACAACCATTACCTATAGCATTAAAGGATTATAAATTACATGATATTGAAATTAAATATGGACTTTTACAGCTTGGAGAAGGTCTTGCATTTTTACATGGAGATGTTAAATTATTACATAGAAATTTATGTCCAGAATCTATTGTTGTTAACAGTCATGGAGCATGGAAAATTTTTGGATTTGATTTTTGTGCATTAAATCAGAGTATTGAAGGTAAACAACCTCAATGGTCATATGTAGAATATGATATTTCAAGTACATCTATAGTTCAACCAAATTTGGATTATCAAGCACCAGAATGTATTTTAGCAAGCAGTGTTGGTACAGCTAGTGATATATTTTCTTTAGGAATGGTGATATATATTTTATATTCTCCAAAGAATGTACTTCCTCATGAATCTAATAATGACTTATTAAAACACAAACAATTTTTAGAAAATTTTAAAAGTTCAACTATTGCAGATACATTTCTTCCAACTTCAGAAACTCTCAAAGATACAGTTAAATTAATGTTACATCATAATCCTGAATTAAGACCAGATGCTCATCAATTTGTGAAGATTGAATATTTTATGGACATAGGTGTGAAAACTCTTAATTACTTAGATAAAATTTTTCAATGGGATAATTTACAAAAATCACAATTTTATAAAGGATTACCTCAACTTTTGAAACAATTACCACATAGAGTTATATTACATAGAGTTCTTCCAGCTTTATATAAGGAATTATTTAATCCTCCAATGATTCCATTTGTTTTACCTAGCATAATTTTTGCTATGGAAACAAGTTCTGTGGAAGAATTTAGAGAATATATTTTACCTAATATTAAACAAGTTTTGACATTGGATGATCCACCACAGATTAGTCTTGTTTTAATGCAACATGCTGATTTATTATTAAAATTATGTACTACTGAAGTAATAAAAACAGATATAGTTCCAATGTTATTAAGAGCTTTAGAATCTGAATGGGAACAATTACAAGAATTATGTTTATCAGCTTTACCTAATATTATAACAATGATTGAAGGACCAGTAATTAAAAATGCAATTTTACCTAGAATGAAAAAGATTTGTTTATATGGAAAAGGAAACAATAGCAAAAGTCTTGGAGTTAGAGTCAATTGTTTATTATGTCTGGCAAAAATGTTACCTCATTTTGACCGATGGCTTGTTCTTGATCAAGTATTACCTTTTCTACAAGAAATTCCACATTCTGGTGAACCTGCAATTCTTATGGCAATTATAGGTATTACATTAAAATATTAATATATAAAAATTAATTAAAAGTAAAATTAAATAACTACAATAAAAAATTACAAATAATATACTTTTTTAATAGGTATTTATAGAATGTTATTAAGCCATAGTAAACTGGGAACAAGTAAAGAAATACTAGCAACAAAAATTTTACCATTTTTATTGCCATTATGTATTGAACAAAATTTTAGTCTGTCACAATATGAAATTCTTTCAAATCTTGTAATTGAAATGATAAATCGTGTAACATCAGAGCATAAAGAAGCCTTGAAACAATTAGATGCCATGCGCCGTGAAACTCAACAATTAGATCAACAACTTTCACAAAGTTCTACTATTTATAAAAATATTAATTCAACAAATAATGATATTAATATAGCTCCCATAGTTCCTACTTCAAATAAAACTACAACTTTAAAGTCTTTGCAGATTGAAAATGGATTAACAATGGAAGATAAATTTCGGTTAGTAATTATTATTTATTGTCCATTATTTTATGTCCATTATGTCCATATTATTTTATGTCCATTAATAAAATTAAAAATATTTTATTTATCATTAAAATATAAATTTTTTAAAATTAAAAAAAAATATTTTATTTACAGATTAATTCAACAACAAGAAGTACATCAAAGATTACAATCGCAAACACCATTAATACCAACAATTGTTCAACCTACAAAACCACCAGTAAAAGATTTAACTGATACTTTACTGAAATCAAATTTAGATCAGTTAAATCTTTCAATGTCAACTTCAAAACCTGATTATTCTTGGAAAATACCAAATTCTAATCAATACCAACATTTTAATCCACAAGGAATGAATGTACAATTAAACCAAAAAGGAAATACTTACATTCCTAATTCAATTATTCCTTGTAATAGTATTAATTATTCTATGAATCAAGAAAATATTACACTTAATACATTAGAATTCAAATCAAATTTGAATTCTAATGCAAATAATTTTCCTGTTAATCAATTAGAATTTAATTCAAATTTGATTTCCAATTCGAATAAAAAAATAGAAAAATTATCATCTTATGATGTAATGGATTTACTTAGTTAATGATTTTACTAATGTAATATAGTATCATAAGATTTATTATTACATATAAAAAAATAATCAATTTATTAAAAGTAGATGTTATTATATTGTTATAAGCTTTTTCGTTTCTTTATTATTTTATTTTTATTATCTTAATTAGAATTTTTAATATTGAATTAATTTTTCATTGTCTGAATCTAAAAAAAAATGTGATATATTTTTATCTAATTTTAAAATTAGATTTATTAAAAAAATTTATTAAAAAATTAAAGTTTATATTATAAGTTTATATTATTATAATATAATTATATTACAATATATTATAATATGTTAAATAATCTTATAAATATAATTCAAAAATGGAACAAATATTTGTTGAAAATTTGAAAAATAGATATCATTTAAAAAAAGGAACAATTTTGTACAATATGTGACATATTCTTTCTTATTTAATGGATCCTTTATTTATTTGATTTATTGTTAACAATATTTGAATATTATAGAAAATTTTAGCATTTTAAAAGGTCAGGTAAAATATATAATTTTAGAAATAAAACAAAAATATTGAATAAATATAAATATATGTTAATAAATAATACATACATATTTACAAACAAATTTAAAAATATACGTATTTCTTAATATGTTTTTATAAATATCTAAAATAAACTAAAAACTATTATAACTTAATATTAAATAACATCTATTATACATTTTAAATGTAATAATATTTGAATATAATAATAATATATAAATAATAATATATGAATATAAGTGTAGCATTTAATAATTGTGTATGTATTCATATTATAATAAAGTTATTAGTTACTTTCTTATTATAATTAATATCAAGGCATTTGAATTAACACAATCGATATTAATTATTAGAATTTAAATCAATATAATAAATATGAATTAATGGAAAATAGCTGTTGTCATCATTCAAAATGAATAGTTGAACAAAAAACAAAATTTATTATAATTTTCTATTCTTTTTTAATAATATAAGGATTATAGTAGATTGATTAAATCCTTTTAATTGAAATAAATTCTAATATTAATTTAGTTGAATCAATTAAATATGTTATATTGTCTTAATATTTTTTTATAATATTTATAATTTATTAATTAATTCTTAAGAATTACATGGTAAAAAATGATTCTTGGTAATTTCAAAATAATTTCAAATTTCAATGGTAAGATATGATTAAGAATTATTATAAATGTTATTTTTGTAAAGGAAAAATTTTATTCAGTAATATGAAATATTTTTTAGATTTATTACTTCATAATAATTCATAAGAATAAAATGGAAAATATTAACAATATTTAACAAATTTTACTTTAATAATCATTCATGATTTATCAAATAATTTAAAAATCAATGACATTAATGGAATAAGTAAATTGATTAATGAAATAATTAATTAGGATATTTGAAATAATTCTAATTAAAAAAAATTTTTTAATTTCAATGTCATAATTACTTTTGAAAACTTATAGGATTTGCAATTTAGTTTTTCTATCATTATATTGATATAGTAAATATTTATAGAAATATAATTTTTTCCATTATACATATAATTATTTATAATAATATGAAATAGTTCAAAAATTCTTTTTATAATGTAATAAGTAAAAAAAAATAAATTATAAGTACTTCAGTTTATTTATAAATAATTCTTTAAGTACTAAATATTAACATTAAATATTTTAACATAATAAGTATTCTTTAAATTGTGAAGAAAAATATTCAATAATATAAATCATAATTACTATTAACAAAAAGAAAAAAGAATTCATAAATGATTTTTCATATTTCATTTTCAAAACAATGCATTAATGAGAAATTCAATTCTATTTATTATAATTTAGCTGATATTGAAAATTATTAATAATGTAAAAAAATATTCATAATTGCAATAAAAACAAAGATAATAGAAGACAAAAAGTACAAATATTAATATTAATATATAACATATATAACATATTATAATAATAATATATTATAACATATTATATAATATTATACTATATTCATATATAATAATACAATATATGATAATATAATATTAATATTATAGACATTTTTCATTGAAAGAATAGAACTTTACAATGTGTTGCAAATAAATTAATAATATATTTGTTTAAATTAATAATATAATATATAATTGATTCCAATGAAGATAAATCATGATCTAAACATTCTAAAAAAATAAATTTAAATGAAAAAAAAAATTCGATGAAAAATGAAAAATTACGAAAAATAAGATAAAATTTTAGAATTATATCTATTACAAACATTTAAAATTAAGAAATTTAGTTAATTTAAAATTAAGAAAAAAAAGAAATCGATTTTTCAATATCAAAAGCATTAAAATATGATTATTAAAAATAAATATATTTTATAGTTTGTTTAAAAAAATTATTACAATTAGAGTAAGTAATTATAAAAAGAGATTTATGTTTATGCACGAAATTTTGCAAAAAAGATATAGAATTTTGGAAATATTTTGGCATTTTTATGAAAAAAATTTCAATTTAATAATAATACTATATATATCAGAAAAATCTGAAATAAGAAAATTCAATACTGAATTAAATTATGATGGAAAGAATATAATGATATTGTAAACTAATGATACTAAGCTGCTATAATAAATATAATAAAATAATAAAATCAGAATATAATAAAATCAAAAATGTAATTTTTACAAATATCATAAATAAATGCAAATATTTGAAAATTAAAAAAAAAAATTTGTTCAATCAATCCAAAAATTAGATATAAAAATGATTTTCATTTTTATCAAAATAAAGATGAATTGAATATCGGTTGTCAACTTCCTTATAATTGTTCCCACATAAAACATTTTCAAGAGACAATCAAATAAAAATATGTTTGAATTAAATTAAAAAATTTTCGCAAAATTTTGAGATAAAGCAAAAAGTTTTCCGAGAAAAATCGATCATTCTTAATAAAATAAAGATTCTTAATAAAATAAAATACACAAAATATGTCTGCCAATATATTATTTATAATGCTTTTTTCAGAATAACTGTCATTTACAAAGAAAATAAATTATTATATCGATATTGGTCAATCTTCGTAATATAGAACATAAAGAAAAATTTTTAATTTATATTTCTATATATATTTTATATTTCTATTTATATTTCTATATAATTAATGAAAGTAAATTTTGAATGGCAATGAATAAATTTAACTTTCTACAAAGATCTTGAGATTTCGAAAACACTATTGCCTAAACAAATTTGATAATTATCATAAGATGTCTTTCTTGAAATATGTCTTCTATATATGAACATATTACAACAAGAATTCGAAAACTGATCATTTTTAGTTTATTTACATTTATAATTATTTATATTTCGATATTTTATACGATGATATAATCTTTACACGAAAAAAAAAAGAGATATTCAACTCTGTGTTCTATTAAAACAATTCTATTAAATCGATATCTTTGATATCACTAAGAATCGATTATCTTATTGCTTTCTATATTATAGTTTACATTGGTCATATTTCACACTGTGAAATCAATGAATCAATGTTTATAACGATTATTAATTTTTAGAATAAAATTATTGATTTACACTAGATAATTAATCGATTCTTATATACGTTATTATATAAACATATACATTATTATATAAATATTAAAATTTATGTAACTAAATATTTTTATTTTTTTTAAATATAAATGCTTAATTTTAATTTATATGATTATTTTGTTGAATATACACATAATTAGTATATTATATATATAGTATATCACATAATTAGTATATTATCTTTTATTAATTTGCTAGTAATTTTAACATATTTATTTATAAAATATGTTTTATTAAATAATATATTGTTGTAAAGCAAGAATATAACAAAACAATAATAATTTAATCAATTATTGAATAATAATAACATAAATTTTTGCTAAATTTTATTTTGGAATGCTCGAAATTTGTGATTTATTTTGTTATTATATAAAAATAGTAAAAAAAAATTGAAAAATAATAATCTTAAGATATTAAAATATTTATATATTTTTTTTTATTTTAAAAATTATATAAAGTTTATATATATAGTTTATTTAGACGCCATATTGGCATCATTTATATATTTAATCCAATGAGGAATCGGTGGTATATTGAAAAGTAGTGTGGCAGTGAAAATTTTATTAAATGTGGTTTTTGTTTTTTAAATGTTGCTGTTTGATTTTGTAATTATATTATTTAGATATATTTTTTTTCTCTGTCTATATACGTAATTATTAATATATTATTTTTAAAAAATACATTATCATTGTTTTAATAAACTAAATGTCGATTGGAGGTTAACTTGCAATGTTTTTATAAAACCTATTTATATATACATATCATTTAAATAGAATTTACAGATATTATTTTATTAAGAAATGTTATTTTATGTGTTATTTTATTTTAATTTGAACTTCATTGGTAATTAAATAACAAATACATAAGTTTTTATTTAATTAAAACAGGATTCATATTTTTATATTATATATATATATATATTTTTTAATAGAGTATATTGATATTCAATATTTCATTACTAATGCTTCATGGTTGTTCCTATTATTTCTATTTTAGAATTTATAATTTTTCTGTAATATATATTGTTATTTATCAATTTGATAATCTAATTTTTTGTGTGTAAAAATAATTATAAAATTATTTCTTAAATATATATATATATATATATATATATATAATTATACTTTGATTTAAATTTATTTAATTAAATTTGCAATATATCTGAATATTCTCATAAATTAAAAATAAAGTTTTCTTTAATTTATCTTATAATATTTATAACAATAAAAAATAAAATTTTCATAATTTTATAATAAATTTTTTATTTGAAATATTATATTCTAATAATATAATATTATATATAATATACCTTTACAATATTACATATAGATATTCAAAAAATGAAAATATTTTGTTTGCATAATAGTAATATCTATACTTTTTCATATTCTTTTCACTTTTTCTTTTGCATATAAGTATTATTATATTCTGTATTATATTCTTGTATTATATTCTGTACTATTATATTCTTTTTTTTTCTAGAAAATCTTTCCTTTTCAAACTTATTTTTTTTAGTTTTAATAATATTATAATTTAAGAATAAGAGTTTGTGCATTTTTTATAATCTCCAATATTAATATGATAATGTATTTTTCAAGTGAAATTTTTATCTTTCTTGTTGATATATATTAAATCTGTTTAACGGATATCAGCAATATCCGTTAAATCAGCAATATATATATATATATATATATATATATATATATATATATACAGTAGAAGATATATGAAAAAAATTTTTTTTTAAGCAGATTAATTAAATCTAAATATGTTTTTCATATGAATAGTATCATTATCTAGTAATAAAAAAATAATTTCTTGAAAAAACTTTATATACTTTATATTTCTTAATACAAAATACCTTTTGATTCATGGAATTTGATAAAGATATTAGGAAAAATATAATTTAAAATTCAAGATTTGAATATTTTATGCAATAATGATCATTAAAAATATAAAATTATCAGAAGTTTAATAAAGAAGTTACTCATTAAAATTACAACTATAGTCAACTAAAATCAGTATGTTCAATTGTTTTTTTTGTTAATAATTATTAATTTTTTTATTCTTTCTGAAACTAAAAAATTCCAATTTCATTATAATTTCAATCTATTAAGTTATGTTTTTTTGCTTGCAATAAAGAAAAAAACAAAAAATACTGAAATTGTAATTAAAATAATGATTTTAATTCCATAATTCTAGTTAATATTGGTTTTAGTGATCTCAATTTGATATCTAATAGGTTTTTTTTAGGAAAAATACATTCAATGTATACAACAAATATATTCAAATTTTTCAATTATTTTCCTTTTTTTTTTTATTAAATTTACTAATCAATTTACTGTTTTATTTCTTGTCACAGACTTCTTTATATAGTTATAATCTTACTGTGCAATTTTAAAAAAAAATTTGTAAAATTTTTTTGAAATAAATATTGGCAAAAAAAAGAATGTAAAATAACATCTTAATATATTTTTTTTATATGTTAAATATTAATATTTTATTATTAAGATAATTTTTATCAAAGTGAACAATATTTACTCGAATCATTTTGTATAATAAAAATTTGACAATATCTAGAAACTTTGATAAATTATTATATATGTTATGATTATTAAACTAATTTCAAATATTTCAAATATTCAATTATATCAAATATAAAAGAACGATAAAAATATTATTAAAAAACTAAAATATAGTAATACAATTTGTCAAATATGAAAATAAAAAATATATATTATATAATATTATATAGTATAATAAAATAATTTGTAAAAATAATATAAATGTATAGCTCAAGAAAATATTCTAAAGTTGGCTATTGAAATTTTAAACAATAAATGTTTATTAGATTATTCCGAAACATTTTTTTTATACAAATATATTTTTCTAAAACCTTCATGATTCATTTTTCTAGAATAATAATCGAAATTAATGGTACTTATTATTAGATATTTTAATGATTTTATAAAATAATGATATTATATAATTTATATTTATATGATTTTATACATGATTTTATCATTTATAAAATTTTATATATCTTACGTACAAAGTATCTTAATGTCGGAATTCCATTTGGCTGAAATAACTAAAATGATTTTCATATTGTTATTGAGAAGTACTGATAATATCAGAAAAACTTAATTTTTTTAAAGAAAATTATTAAATTATCTGATTATACATTTGATGTATAATTATAAAAGAATAATCTATAATATATATAGTATAATTTGTTAATTATTTAATATTTGAAAGGAAGAAGTACGCGCGTTTTTGAAAAAAAAATATATTTCTCAAAATAAAATAATGATAATTTATGCGTGCTAATAACGAAAAGAACATTTGGGACATTTTGGGACGATCTAATATATTATAGTATGTTCAAAATAATGTTATTATTACAATAAGATACAAATAATATTATTATTAAATAAAATATCAATATTGTAGACAGTGATTTGTGTTCGATCATGATTTACAAGAGATTATTGTTCTATATATATTGTTCTATATATTTGTTTTTCGATTATTTTTATACAATGAGTTGAATTATCGAATATGTACATATTAAAGAAAAATAAAAAATAAAATATGGAATTTATTATCAATAAAAGATAATTTTTAATATGTTAAACTGCTTAAAACGTGTCACAGAAGAAAGGGAATATTAAGTATTAAGTATAGTATTTAATTTTTATAAAAATTGTTATTTAAATAAATTAATATAAATTTGATATATCCGAATATTTTTTTGATATTAAATTTCACCATTATTTCATTTATTGCTTATTTATTTATTGTTGTTTTATTGTTGTATTATTGTTGTATTATTGTTGTATTATTATTGTTAACTATAACGAAATTACTAAAAGACAATTTAATTAAATTAAAATAAACAAATATATATATATATATATATATATATATATATATATATATAGAGAGAGAGAGAGAGAGAGAGAGAGAGAGAAAAATATTTTCTTGTAAATCGTGGTATATAAATATTAATTCGAGTTATAAATTTCAAACTGTATAAATTTTCAAATGAGTTAGATATTTATGAAAATTAAAGAATATTCGTTATATATGTGTAAAAAAAGGGTCACAAAAGTAAACGGATACTTAAAGACGAGCTGTGTTTATGCTGAATTTATACAATACATTTAGAAGCGAATCGTTTTTACATGAATTTACATAATAAATGTTAAGATCGAACTCAGTTCATGCTAAGACATCGTTTAATAAGTTTGGCGTGTTAATTATTTATAGTTATAGGTTGATCAATTGCTAATTAAATTATACTCATGTTATACCGTGGAAACATATACAGTAGAAAAAAATGAAAGTTCTACTGTTTTTAACAATCATTGTATGTTGTTGAGAAATTATTTATTGAAAAATTGATTACGTAAGTAAATATTTTTTCTTGAAAATTTTGTGTTTGTACTTTAAATAAAAATTTAATTTAAAAAATTTTTATTATTAAAATGTACATTTTCTTGATATTGTATTATTTTATTTTTATTAAGATATGTTAACAATATTTTTTTAATTGATTGTACTTGTATGTATCCTATATTGGATAAATCAATTATTTTATTAGATAAATCAATTCAGCAATTCTTATAATTATTCTTATAATTCTATCTTATAATTATACTCACATAATTTATTAAAAAACAAAAATTGAAAAATTTACTTAATAGTCTTTATTTTTCGAAAAATTTAAAATATAAAAATGCAAAAAAAAGTTCTATTAAAACTTTATAAAGAGTCTTAAAATTTTACAAAAAAAAAGTTAATCCTTTTAGTAAAAATAGGTCAATAATATCAAATATGTCAAATATGTCATTTATTAAATTGTTTAATAATTATTATTAAAAAGAATTTTTTATATTATTAAAAAGAATAATACAGAAAATATTACAAATAAAATCCATGAAAGTTGTTCATAATTAGATCGTAAATAGAAAAAAAAACTAATTACTTATGAAAAAAAAATTTCTTGATTTTAAAATTTGCGGATATTATATCCGCAATATAACGTATCTATATATTTGAAAAAATCATTCATTTAAAATTTTATCGAAAAATTTTATAACAATTTTTTTTAGAGTAACAAATAGATTTAGAAGAAACCGTATATTAATAATATAAATAATATAATTTATTCTGAAATACCATTATATTTTCTGACGAAAATAAATTTAACATTTTACATTCTAATGAACGTAATTATGTTTGAACAAAATAGAATATTAAAATGGAAATATAAAATTTATACTTCATTATTATAAAATATGGTTTTATCATAATATGAAATTTATGATTTGATAAAGGCAAAAAATTAAACAATTAAAATAAATAACAAAACATTATTAAAATAGATAATTGAAATATGAATAATAGGAAATAGTTTTCTACATATTGTATTTTATTTTGTATTGTATTTGAGATTATATTATTCGTGTTAAAGATGAATTAAATATTAATATAAGATAAAATGTAGAAATAATAAGAAATAATATATGCAATGTTTGAATACTTTTTTTATAATCTTATTTTTATATATCTTTAAAAAATTTTTTCTAATTTCTTCAAATATTTTCGAATTTACTTCAAAATAATTATGTATGTATAATTATGTTATTATATATAATCTTGATACTTGTATCTTATTGTAGTTATAATATTAAAAATCTTTAAAAAGTCAAATGTAACATATGTGTTTCTATTGTTTAAAATTTCAATGAAGTTTAATGAATATATCGAATATTTTCTTGAACTATTATATAGAAGTTGCGATGATTGACGATTGATGATTGAATTATATTCATAATATATGATAATGATTGGATGTTATGTTCAGCATATCATATTGTTGATTTGATATGCTGAATTATTGAAATTGATATTTGATATTGATATTTGAAATTGAAATTGAATTATTGATATATGAAATTATTGAAATTTATTGTAATTCGAATAGATTCCATTTCCAATCGATGATTTAACAAAAAATATTGCTATAAAAAACCGAACACTATCAACAAGAATTGATCCTACGTAGATAAGGTAAAATCATGATTCTTATTGCAAAAAATATAATTTAAATTAATTTATATTTAATTTATTTTATATAAAAATATATATATACTTTGATTGAAACAAAACAAAACTAAGATTCTAAAAATAAGATTCTGCTTTGTTTATACAATATAAATTTGATATTATTTTAATGATTATTTCTGTTGAAACAAAGAAATTTTGAGATAAAGAAATAATTGAATATATAATTTGAAATTATATATTTATTTGAAATTGTTAAAATTTTAAAATTTTTATTTTTTTATATTTTCAAATAATGCTATTGAAAATAATAATAATAATAATAATAATAATAATAATAATGATATTAATAATTATTTTAAAATATTTATAATAATCATATTTTTTATTTCAATTTCAAAATTTTTAATACTTTTTGAAATTAATTTTTAAATAAAAAAGGAATACATTATATTTTGCAGATGATTGATCAAAAATTTTAAAAGATTTAAATTGCCGAATGATGAAAATTTTATTGCGAATAATAACCCAAAAATACTGATACTACAATGGACTAATGCATATCTTATTATTGGTGAGTATAGTATAAGTAAAAAGTGTTAAGAAATAATTATTAAAATACTTCTATTTAGATGAATATTTGAAAAATTTGAAGTCACAGTGATAATATATCTATAACAAATATTTATTTGAAATACAAAAAATATTTGTACATCATTGTATTTATTATAAGATTTATGTATTAATTAATTATTATTTATTAATAATCTTATATAATACAAAAATATAATTTAAATAAAATTTAAATATATATTTAGTACATAAAATATATATTTAAATAAAATATAAAATCTGATAAAAAATAAATTATTATTATTATTTAAAATAAATTATTAATTACATGCAAATATTTTTTATAACTATTATACATATAATAAATTACTAAATTATTAATTTTTTAAGGTACAAGAAATAATTATGTATGAAATGATTTCTATGTAATAGTATTTCAAATTTATACTATTTTTTATAATTATTATTAATTGAGAAATTCAATGGAAAACAAAAATATATTTTCATAAATTTATAGGAAAGAAATTATTTATCCATTGGATCTTTCAATTTTAATTCTTCAAGACCATGATTGATAATATAGAATTAATGTAATCAATATTTTTGTAATATGAAAATTCATTTTTTCTCGATATTTCTTTATATTTCTTAATATTAGATTGCATTAAAAATTCTTTTTATTCTCATTTGATCATTTTTATTCTCATAATTTGAGAAATATAATTTATATTTATGTTTTATTAATATTAAAATATCTAATCTTTCTTTAATTTTTCAAAAGTATGTATTTCTTCGTTAAATAACTTAAACTTTTTTGCAACTAATAAATTATAGATTACTCTTTTATAATTACAATTACTATTATTCATTGATAATTAATTAAAATAATTAGATGATTCTTTATAAAAAAAAATTGGTTTTTGTATTATCCGTATAATCAATTATTATTTTGAAAAATTCTAATGGTATTGATATGAAATTTTGTATGCAAGATAATTTGAAAACAATTTAATTCGTTTGCAAATGAATCAATCTTTCAACAAGATAATGATTCCAAGCATACGGCTTGAATTGTTAAGGAGTGATTAATGTATTTACATATAATATAAGAATTAAGTATATTACTCTGATTACAATATTTGAATTAAATTAAATAATCGATTAAGAAAATATGTCATTAAAGATACGAAAATTTTAAAAATAATTATTAGAAAATTATATAGTCTCTATAAATATCAAAAAAAAAACAAGATATATAATAGATAGTAAATCTATTTTTTATGATTTTTTGAATTATGATAAATGTATGTAATATTTTATGAATTGGAAAAAAAACAAAGAAGAAAAATCAAAAAAAAGAATAAAAAAATTATAATAAATGAATGATAATAAATTAGTGATAGATAATAATTAAAAAGAACTAATAACAATAAATTATAAACAATAAATATATAAATATTTATAAACAATAAATATATAAATAATTTATTATATTCATTATAATTTTATTGATTAGAAATAAAATAACTAAAACAATAAAAATTTTTGCAATTGCAATGCAAAAAACGAATATTTTCTTCTTGATTAATAAATCTAACATACATAACATTAACATTAACATAAACATTCATGGCAATGTTTTGAAACGAAACGAAATATATATCACAAAGTCAAAAATATTTCAAAGTCATTTTTAACTGATATCAATACTTACTAATATACCAATAGAATGTTAATATATTTATGAAATCCTTTAAAGTTTTATTTTAGAGATCAAAATAAATATAAAAGTTCGTATACAAAAATATTGGTTTAAATTTATTTATTTATTATTTATAAATAATTGAAGTTTGCGTTAAACTAAATCAGACAGATAGAAACTCTATTTCCATCACATTATTGTATCATTATATTTCACTTTATCTAATGGAAATTTAAATTGTGTAGAACTTATTAAATAAATTTCTATTATAACATTTTTTTATGCAACTATTATATTTGTTTTGCTTTCTAAAATTAAAACAGAAAATTAAAATAGACCTTTCAAAATAGTTGAATATATGTTACGAGCATTGACGGTTATAGTATGAAACATCATGAATATATATATATATATATATATATATATATATATACACATATATAATATAAATTATACATATATATATATATATATATATATATAATTTAATAGAATTATTTCCAAAATGGAATTAAGATATTTTTTACTTCCTATATATAATCTCTGTGTAACATCCCTCTATAAAATACTGTATAACATCCCTATATAAAATATTTTGTAACATTCGTGTATAAAATATTGAACTGTAAATAACAATAAAATAAAATAAAATTTAATAAATATAATAATAATAAAATAAAACCAGTTATGGAGAACCAGTTTTCAGGCTCATGTAACATTAATACTTTGTATATTTGAGATTTTTCGAGTTTTTAATCGATATTGTTTTAATATTGTTGCTTGAGATCTTTATTGATATTTCTTTATGACAGTTGTGCAAATTCAAGAACCTCACAATTATATTATTAAGTTTAGTTTCGAATTATATTCGAATGAAAAAGATAATTATATAAATTAAAAATAATCATATTAAACATGGGCAAATATGCCGATTACAATTATTATTTATTATTATAGTTTATACAAAAGTAATATCGAATATATTTTTATTTAGTTACTTTTACTTTTTTTTATTACTTTTCTTTTTGTCATTTCAACTGTATTTATGAAATTTTTATGAAATCTTATTATTAAAGTCGAAAATTGATAAATGATTTTGAATATTGCACAAACAGGATGCTTAAACTGATGTTACTGTTTGAAGAATCACCTACTATCGTAAGACTGTATATTCGTTTATATTATGAACTCGTAATGAACGAATGGTGATACTTCTTTGCGGCTAATTGTTATGATTCTAACTGTATTTTGATGTAGATTGTATCGTCATCGAATTCTATCTATTCTCTTTTTTTATATCAGCTCTATCGCAAGACAGTTTCAATATTTAATTCGATCCTTCGTTTTTCCTCCAATCCTTGTCTTTTGGGAAAAATACACATAGAGAAGAGGTTGGAGAGACCAATGGTCGCGCTAGAGGGTGGCCTCGAAGGATGGGCCTCGCGGGGTCGCATCGCAGCGCATAGGAGACCTTCGCGCTCGTTCCCACAGTGGTCCATCGCATGATGTGCAAATATCACTCGTGAAGTGGCCATTACTGTGATACTTTTATTTAAATTAGAGATCTAGAAAACATTAGGAAAACCAGGCCTGCTCATAAATTATTGTCAGACTATTGACATTACTCGAAGTATTGAAAACACAAGTCAGGTTACCCGACTGCTTCACAAATCCTTATCACTTATTTTATCTTGATTTTTAATTGTTGTATGGCATAATTATCTATATTTTTTTTGTTAATTTTATTTGTCTTCTTTTCTTCTTTTTTATTATGGCTTTTCTCCTATCTTTTCTTTTTATATTTCTTTATAATTGTTTCCTTATTGGAATTATGTCTTTTTCTCACTTTTTTTTTTTCTTTTTATCTTTTTATTTCTATTTTTAACTTTGTTTTTTAATTTCATTTTATTCACACTCTTTTTTTCTACATTTGCTTAGAATATATTTCCATACTCTTTTATTTTCTTCTTATCTTCCTCATTGTCTTCTTGTGTTTATAAGTTTTACTTTTTCTTTTCGTTTATTATAATTGTTTTCTTTTCTAATATTTTTTTTCTGTTCTTTATTATTCTTCTCTCTTTTTTTTTTCTCTTCCAATTTTTCTAATCATTATTTCTTTTTTCTGTTTTCTTTTCTTTTAATATTTTTATTATATTTTTCTGTCTTCTTTTATAATTTTTCTCTATTTTTTCATATACTTCTCATATATATTCTTTTGTTTTTGTTTTCTTCTTACACAATTTGCATATTTTTTTTCTTTAATCAGAGACAGTAATCAGAGAATAGTAGATGAATTTTTATTTAGAATTTTTTTTAATACAAATTTTATTTTAATATTTATTGCTCAAACATTCATTTATATATCAATTTATTTATTTATTTTTTTTACAAATATTCTAGAATTTCCTATATTTCTATTTTTATTTTTATATCATTTGTTATATTTTTTATCTATCTTATTTCTCTTCTTTTTTTTTTATTTCTCTCTTTTTATTTTTTTTTGATATTTCTTCAGTCTTTTCTAGTTTTTTCTCCTTTAGTAACTTCTACCAAAATTAACATTTTTTTACTAGAATATCTCTTTTTTTTCCTAGTTGTATTCAAAGTTCCATACACAACCGTGCTATTATAGGATACGTTGTTGCTAGACAATTATAATTGAATCTGAAGAGAAATGGCTTTGGCATGAATTTTTTCTTGACAGCAAGACTGCTTCTGATACAGACTATTGAAAAATAAGAATCATCTGTTGGTTAAAATGATAGTGATATTATTGAATCATAAATGAGATATGGCACAATAATATGGCACAATAAATGTACTATCTGTAATATGGAATAGATGTATCATCTAACGCATCTAAAGCATAGAAGTTCAAAATAATATTAATTGTGAGTTCTCAAGTTCTTGTTTTTATGTTACACGAGATATTAACTAGTATCGACATTAGTTTTTTTCGTTGTGAATCAAATAAGTAAGAAAATATGATTTAATTTGAGACAAAATGCTAGATACATGAGGCAAACTTAAAAATTAGAATGATTATTTTTGATTAGAGATAGTAATCAAAGAATAGTAGATGAATTTTTATTTAGAATTTTTTTTAATACAAATTTTATTTTAATACAAATTTATTCATTATCAAATATATTATTCATTATCAAAATAATTATTCAGAAATCAATTGGCTCCATCGTAGATTGGTATTCTAAAAAACTATAAAATTTGTTGTGTGCATATTGTCCAGGCAGTAATAATACATACTGATTTTTGAATTTTAAATTATACATTTATAGATT